AGTTGGGATATGAGAGGTATGGCTAAAAGGGCTATTGTTCCAGGCGCTGTGGATGGTTCAGAATTTGGAAGCGGTGTCTGGAAAAAACATTGAAAAAAAACAACAGGCGTAAATTTTTGTAGGCATAGTTGAGAATTTTGTTGCGTGTTTTACACAAAAACTTCTTTTTAACACGAAAATTTGGCGGTGATATGGCAGTGCGATTGTCGCCAAAGCAACTGGTTTTCTGCCGTCTATTCCCCTGGACGGTTGCTGAATATCTCGGTACTCCGTGCTGAAATTTCCATGAAATTTTTGACCTGCCAGGATGTAGGTCATCTATGCAAAATGTGAAAAAAAGATCTGAAGCACTTCCCTTGAGCCTGCAACCATCTGCAATTCCAATATCATCATTCCAGACGTCTCCCAGTCCGTCACAAAAATTTCCCAACCCATATTGCTCCCATCCGCCCAGCCCCACTTCATACCGGATACATGAAAAGCGAAAATGATGTTGTTGAGGACGGCGAAGAGTTCCCTGAAATCCGACCCAATATCGGAGTCGGGAGATTCGGTGCGCCGGATTCCCGCGGTTCCCCTCCGGCTCCCACGGCACACGGAGGAAATATATATACATATATTGTATTTATATTTGCGAATCAATGGTTCTTTGGCCTAATGAGAGAATATTGGATTACCGGCGAAGAGCTTCGGAGGCCAAAAACTTGAAAGGATTTTTAAGGCTACCGAAAAAAGTTTGAATAAAATGATGACTTTGATTGTGAGAATGAGTCGATAAAAAAGAGAAAAGGTAAGAAAACCAAAAAAAATGACAGAAAGAGAGAAATACATGTTGTAGAAGGCATATGATCGATCTCTATGTAGCTATGGCTGTATAGAAATCGCCTATGTTTTTAGGTCAAAAATTGAATAGTATTATATTATATTAAATTCTTCGCCTTTATTTCGACAAAAATCTTGCTTTCCTTCTGAAACGATATCGGAAAAATAATGTGTATTTATAACGCCTTAAATTTGTCCATCGTCGCTTTGCCGCGACTGGCCGTGGCCGAAGATTTGGTGCGCGATTTCTTGACATCTTGCTGCAACAGATGCAGGATATTCTCCTTACAGACTGATAGGGAGAATTCAGTCTGTAGGGAGAGATCTGATCCAATGGCAAAAACCGTACCATTTTGCATTCAAAAAGTATCAAAAAACGTGGCAAAATACCTCCATCTCCAAGTGAAAAAACTCAGATTTCAAAAGCGCGCCCGCTCTTTTTGTGATTAAAAAGGGCGCGCTCTTCAAAATGAAGTTTTTTCAATTGGAGAGGGAAGCTTTTTGCCACATTTTTGATACTTCCCGGATGCAAAATGGTATTGTTTTCGCCACTGGATCAGGCCCCCACTGTAGACCCTTTCATCTAAATTTTGGGACTTTTTGATTTTTCTTGGTTTTGGATTAAAGATTATCAAACGACACAAGAAATCTTATTTTAAAAACCCTCAGCGAAGAGCTTTTATGGAAAAAATTAGGGTCTATACCTTAATTTTTTCTATAAAGTTTACCTCACCCAATTTTGCATAGCCCAACCAAAAACCGACAGAGTTCTAACCCACGCCACGTCAACGACTTTCTCATGCCAGCCCAGAAAACCTTTGGCATAACCGCATTATCGAAGCTGCGGCGAACAATAGGCCAAGGACTCTTTGAATGGACCAAAAAGTGGGTGTCCTGGACGTATTCAGAAGAGTTAGAATCACTAATTATTAAATATTACTTTCAAAGAATACTTTTCCGTTGAAAAGGTCAGGATGGAAATTTTTTGATTTCTCCAAGTTTTTTTGATTTTTTTTTCAAAAAAAAATAATGCTGATTTTTTCAAGGTAAACTTGAAATAAAGGTATATGTTTTGACAAAAATTATTTGAAAAACGCAAATTTTTTTATTTTTTTAAAATTTTTTTTTGTTTTTTGTGATTGTGTTTCCGCCAAAATGCGTAAGAATTCTTCTTCAGTACAAAAAAAAAATAATTTTTTTCTCGAAAATAGATAGTACAAGCCTTTCTTCCGCCGCAAATGCCAAAGAATTGCGTTTTACCGCGAAGACAATCACATTTGGCCAAGTTTTTGTAGAGCCTCGCACCTAATTTCATATGTAAAAACCCAGAAATTTTGGCGTCTTAAATAACGATTAAATCACTATAAATAAAATAAAAAATTATAAAAAAAATGTACACTAATACAAGTCTACCCCAAAATTTTAATTCAAACTAAATTGAGCAAACAATAGGCGCCATGAGAACGTGTTCATAGTCACGCAATAAATTCTAGGTTTATTAATTACCAATTCCAAAATTGGCGGCGGCAAAAATTCGGGGGTTTTACATACAAACATTCTTTTGGGGTTTTCAAAATTTTTGTTTTGATTCACAAAAAAAAATTTTTTGTCGCTTATTTTGAGTGTTCAAGCTCAATCCCAATATCATTTCCTGAACTGAAAATACAGGTCATGTTTTTACCCATTACTTGAAATTTGAGCTGCTACCAGGTTATAATAAAATAAGACTTGTAGAATTTTGCGCATGGAGAATTGTGGTTTAGAGTATTCTGTGCGGATTAAAACATTGAATAAAATTTTAAACAAACATGAAATACCAAAACAGAAATTAAATTTGAGCTAAAAGCCAGGGGTTCAAAGCACCGAAACGTACATGAAAATTACTCCAAGTTTTGTGCGCAAAATATTGACTAGCATCTTATATGACTTGTCCAAAAACTTCTGACAACTTCTGAGGACAAAAACATGATATTAGACCCAGATTACTCAGCTAATTTTTATATATTCTGAATCACAAAGTTTTTGCGAATTTTTTGACATATGTCTTGACCTGTAACTCCATACCCCATAGAAATACTTTCCTCGTGAAATCTGTAGCCCTCCTTTTGCAGCAACGAACGTTAACTCTAATCCGTAAGTCGGTTAAAATTTGGGAACATTTGCACGCTTTGGCTCTCATCGGCAAAGATAATATAATACTTTGGTGATGTCTGTAAACAACAAATCAAAATTTTTCCGAATGAAACGTTGCTGTTGGCCAAAACTTGACGCAAATTTTGAATAAAACCAATGCGTTGCAAATCGAGCAATCCGCAGACTTGGCATGAATACTTTTGGCGGTCGCTGCTCACCTCCACCGCTCTTGGCCCTCCTCTCCGCGGGCTCTTCTCTCCTCTTCCAACACACAACCCACAGCACCCACCAAGTTCCCACTTTAGAAGCTAATTGTAATCAAAATCCTTTGGCCTTGGCCCCCCTTGGAACGGACCCTTAACCCAGATTCTCGTTTGGCTTCTGAATCCCCACACAAATGGCGTCAAAAGCAAAAAAAATAAAACCAAAAAAGAACCAACCATATCCGCATCCCCGCAAATTCCCCGGAGGCCTCAAATCGGAAACTTTGAAGATTCGCCATGAATAATATCGACGGCCAAAGGAATGGTTGTGGCGGACGGGATGGGAACCGATAACAAGTGCAAAGACAAAATATCTTTATAATTCGCAAAAATGGGGAGCTATAAATAGACGGGCACATGGATGATATATAGAAGAGTCTAAGAATCCGAAATTAATTTATCGCTAGGGCAATATGTCATGTAGCAACAATGGAAATTTGGGAAAAGAGCCGTTCGTTTTTTGGGAGTGGAAGATGGTTCAAAAACCGGGATTTTTTTGGCCGAAAGTTGGCAAAAATGTGGTGCTTTTTTGCTAATTGGAGCATTAAAAGTATATCACTTATATCAATTCGTACTGTTAGGAGTAACGTATCTAGCAATCAACTCTTCCACACTAAACTGACCAAATATTTTATCTCTATATATGTACTGGCTGACCAGGGGAGAATGGGACTTGAAGTGGAATCGACCGGTCGGAGAGGACAAGAAGACCAAGGAAAGAAGTGTTTATTTCGTACAGCAGCAGGAAAAGTGGTTATAAACGACCAGATCCGGGGCTTTTATAGAGAATGACCGAACTTATGCAAATTTGGGGTTTAGCGCCAACACTCTGACCACTCTCCACGTTATGGTGTAAGAGCCGTGTAGTAAGTCCTTATTCAGTTGATCCACTCGACACCTCAATTCCTCAATTGACAAAAAAAACTGATGTTTAGCGGAGGCAGCTGAGTTCATCACGCCAATCCTCAACACTCCGAGCACTCGAAAAAACACTTGGCCGTCATAATATCCATCTTCATAGATCCCCCGGAACCCTTGCAGCGGTCGGCCATAACAACGCGCCATAAAGGCGTCTTCTTCTTTTCATGGCCTTCCAACTTCTTGGCGTCCCCGGAGAACAATCACGGCCTAACGAACTTTTGCGGTCCGACGCGCAACGAACCCAGAGGGCCGTCGGAGCGGGGAGTCAGGGCCACGCAAAAACATCTTCATGCAACGTCGAGCGAGACGAAAATTTGCGGGAAAAGCGTTGACGGTGGGCTGTGATTTTTGGAAAGTAAAGCAAGTTGCAAATGGAGGAAAAGAGTCGCTATTTTTGCAAAATCAATGATGGGAAAGCAGCCCAAATTTGTCTTTATTTTCTATGCCAGACGGAGAGATATTTCGAAAAAAACCTCGGAGTAAAAACAGGGTTTTTCTATATAAGTCTGTCGGGAAAATAATGAGTATAATGTGGCTGCGCCGATTGTGTCGCTGAAAGGAAAAGCAATTTGATTTTATCGTGAAAATTCATTTTCCCATTTATTTTTCCCTATCTTCGTTGCTACAGAGTGCTCATTATTTTCCCGACAGGCTGAGGAAAAGCGTTTTCTGTCCGTAGGTATTTTTGCAAAGCTTTCTCGAAGCTACATCTGGCTAGCGGAGCCAGAAGTTTCTTGCCCAAAATTCCCTCAAAACTTTTCGTCACGCAACCTGTGTTTCAATAGCAAATTGCCGATAAAAACTATTCCACATTCCTCTAAACATCCCCTAAAAGTACCCAGTGAATAATCAGGAGTAAGTATGTCATCGGCCCTCGTAAAAAGCCCACGGAATTTCCCCGTCCATTCCGAGCCTGCCTACGGTAGTCCCCCACCAAATAAAAAAGAAGAAATCGCGGAGCCCAGAAGCAAATGGTGGCCAAGGAAATTGGCCCCGTTAAAGGACCGCCACGACATTTTTGGCTTCCCTCTCCGCACCCGTCTCGAAGACGACGACCTACCGTCGCCACAAGAGTACTGAGGAATCGATTTTTCGATGGAAATCCAATTTGGTCGCCCGGGGAAATAAGGCCGCGCAATTCAAAGAATCCCCGAAAAAATGGCTTTCAGTCTGCGGGAAGGTTAAAAACAGGTTGGATAGTAAAGGCTATGAGTAATAAGAATATGGAAATTTCAGCGCGTTAAGAGCAAGTTGGAAAATTTCGCAAAGGAATTTCTTATGGTGCGCTACACCGATCTCTTTCATACTATTTGACCTGAATTTCTTGCGTTGACCACTTGTAAATTCCTGAAAATTTTCGCTCGCCCTTCGCAGGGAAGCTGAGATTTTTTCAACGATCTTTACCCCAAGAGAAACTACATAAAACGGGGAGAGCGCTCAGAGAGAAAAAAACAAGATATCAACAATATTTGAACCACTAAAAGTGAAGATAGAAGGCCAGGAAAAGAAAAATTTTTCCATGTTTTTAAGCTCCGCGCGAAATCATTTGTTTTTTGCATGGAAACGTTGCAGTCCACGCTGGACACTTTTTGCTCCATATAACTCAAAAAATACGAAATTGTGACATTTTGGGTCCGTAAAAATCTTGGTGAATCTTGCAATGCAAATGCTAAAAAATGTCGGAAGTTTCTAAAAATCTAATTTCGGACCAAGCCCTATCAAAACTCACACAAAATACCTCAAGAACTTCTCCGGTAATAAACCGACTCAACTTCGGCAAATTGCTTCAAAACTTCCCATATCCCATCTCCAATCCATAGACAAAATCTCATAACCTGTCGTGTGTCAACCCAATTTCAATTTCCGCCTTGTTCCCGAGAAAAAAAACGAAATTCTCTTCGAAATGCTCTCAACTCGTTGCCAAGGCCCGAACCAAAGCCGGTAATCATACCCTCTTGACTGTTTTATTGCTTTTGGAATTTGAATGGGCGCTGAGAAAGGGTTCAGGATTCTTGAAACCCCGAATCTCCGAATGGCGTATAGGCGGAATAAAAGCGGTAAAAACAAAAGTGTTAAGCCGCGGAGATTTTCCAATTTTACAGTGCAAAAGTGAAATGCGCAGTGCGAAAAGTCGGGCTCGGATGTGCAGGAATTTATCAACCATTGCTCTTGAAGTACTTTGCCTTTTGCCAGATAACTACACTTGTTGAATTCTGTGTCATATCTTCATTTATCTTCAATCAGCAACAAATTTCAGGAACTGCAGTTTCAACTCGCAGGGGAAGTACTCCAAATGCGACGCTCAGATTTTGATGAAATTTGGCAAAAATTTAGAACGATTTTTTCTAAAGCATATGCGAGAGTCCTAGCTCGCGCTTTGCAGAAACAACCGAGTTTTAGATCGAAAGTCGGCGAAAATTTAAGACCTTTTGCCGAATTCCGGCACGAAAAGTTTCATGCCTATTTCTACCGTAAAGTATAACGTTTCTACAAAAAATCCAATTTTTTCGCACGAAACTGCCAAAGTTATGGCCAAAAATCGTTTTTCTCTGTGACCGCTCTCCACGTTTAGTGTGCTCTCTCGGCGGCAAAAACCGTTCGATATCTCAGCGGCGCCGGCAAAGCGCGAGCTAAAACTTTCAGTAATTGATATTTATTCCATACTCGACGTGTGTGCAAAATTTAAAGAAAATCTGAGCGTCGCAACTTGGAGTACTTCCCTTGTCAATCATAAAATTCAAAACCTTGTATGGTTTACTGATAACAGCCTGCGATCAGGGAGACCAAAAAATGAGTACATTTATGCATGTAAAATATGAAAAACCGCTTTGTTGGCTAGTCCAAGAACTTTATAGCCGAAAAAATTAGTTTTTTGCAACATCTACTGGTCTATTAAAAAAATTGTTACGTTGTAAGTTTTTGCCAAGTCTCCGCCGAGCCAAGCCATGTAGTCACAACCTTTTTACGGGGCTTGCCCGACACCGCATATCCAACAAGTTTCCTTTGACCTGAACTGTCCTCGACCCGAAAAGAATGCCGCTTCGTTTGCAGATTTTTCTGTCGGTAAAATACGTAGATTCGGAAAGTTACGCTGAGAAAAAATCAATGTTTTATGAGGCTGTTTCTTATCTTAAGTTATCGATAATTTTTTGCGGAATTTTTTTCCGCAAATCTTTTGACCTCACCTGTTGAATTTAGGCGAAAAATCATTTGGATCTGAAAACTTTTTCAGCCAATTTTCATTATTCTCCCTTCTCTTTTTAACACCGAAGTCGAGAGCTCCAAAAATATTGCAGTAAACATTGATCACAAAAGCGATCAATCAGAGTTTACAGAAAGTACAATACCAATCTTATTTGTGGTTCAATCAGCACATTACAGCATGTGCTATTAGTGTATTTAGTGTATGAAATCATTTCAAGACAAGTAAGTTTACAACGCTGGGAATCAGAAGCGACGAAAACACATTCGCGTGTGTTAAGAGTTTCCTTTACTGTCCACCACTAAAGAAAGTAGGAGAAAAGGTTTTTTACTGTCTTGTTGAACATGTTTTTCGATCAGCCAGGAAAAGGCCATAAGGCCACATCGTTGTACAACTTACAAGGGAAGTACCTCAAGTGCGACGCTCAGATTTTCTTTAAATTTTGTACACACGTTGGGAATGGAGTAAATATCGATTCCTGAAAGTTTTAGCTCGCGCTTTGCAAGCGCCGTCGAGATATTGAACGATCTTTGCCGCCGAGAGAGTACGATAAACGCGGAGAGCGGTCAGAGAGAAGAATACTTTTCGGCCATAACTTTTCTAGTGTCGCGCGGAAAAAATTCATTCCTTGTGGAAACGTTACCCTCTATGGTAGAAATAGGCATAAAATTTTTCGTGCCAAAGTTCGGCAAAAAGTTTCAAATTTTTGCCGAGTCTCGATCTAAAAATCTCGGTTGTTTCTTCAAAGCGCGAGCTAGGATTCTCGCATATATCTAAGAAAAAAAATTTTATAAATTTGCCCTAACAATAAGTTTCATCAAGCTCTGGGCGTCGCACTTGGGGTACTTCCTCTGTTAGCTTTATTGTTAGGTTACGACGCAATTGTAATAATTATAAATCCCGACCAAATTGTGTATTTTTGTCTGTTAGCTTAGACAGGTCAATCCAATTTTCTACTTACCACATCACTCGGTCTTTTCACTCTCTACAACCTTTTAAAGTTTGAACTCAACCTTTAAAATTGACTTGTGTTTTGGTTTTTGTTCAAATCACAGAAAGTTACATGGCTGCTTAAAACATGTCGTCTCTTCCTTCGCAGTTTTAGGACACAATTCTTCAGTAGTGATTTTTAGGATGCTCCTCTTTCCAATCCTTTGTCTGTTACCAGTACTCTCCGCATCAACAGACCCAGTGCTGGAAACGGATATTGGGCGGTTTGTTGGGAAACTATTGACATTCGACAGTGGCTTACAAGTAGATGCTTTTTATGGCGTCCCATTTGCAAAGCCGCCGGTTGGACCGCTAAGATTTGAGGTGCGATATTTCAGAGTCTTTCTGGTGATGTTTATGTTTCGAATTATTACTTATTATCATACCACTGTTGAGTTTCAGAAACCTCAAAATGCCGAGTACGTTGAAGAGAGAGAAGCCAAGACTCTGCCAAAAATCTGTATTCAAATGGACGGGCCGTTTGAGCAAAGCGAAGACTGTCTTTATTTGAATGTCTACAGACCTCATAACAAGGTGAGTTATATCAGAATAGGCTATATTACTTCTTTCAGACTGATACTTATGGGTACCCTGGCTTCTTTTTCATCCACGGCGGTGGATATCAGATGGGATACTCGCATCAGCACACCACTGATTACGTTGCTGAGAATTATGCAGCGCAGGGAATGACCGTGGTCATTCCTCAATACCGTGTCAGCATCTACGGTAAGTTAACGCCAGTTTTCAATTATATAACAAAAGGCAAAGATAGCCTATAAAAAAGAATAAAAAACCCAGTCTTCTGTCATGATATCTATTCATATCCTGACAGAAGACCTCTTTGTTTTTTAAGGTTTTGCCGCAACCGAAAACAGAGCCATCCCTGGCAACAACGGCCTTCACGATCTCCATAAAGCCCTTCTTTTCACTCGACGCAATGCCAAAGGCCTGTATTTGGACAATGGCAGGATCACGGTTGGCGGATACAGTGCTGGTGCGGCTGCGGCCAGCGCGCTGTCAATCAGCCCGTTGACGCACGACCTGTTCAGTCAAGTCGTTCAGTTTAGCGGCTCAACTTTTGCTGAATGGGCGTTTTCAAAAAGAGGAACGGAACATACCGAAAGAGTGGTGAAAATTTTGGGATGTGACGCTGAAAGGGAAGTCAGAAAATGCCTGCAAGGCAAGAGCCTCAAGGATATAAATGAAGCCGTGGAGAAGGCGGTAAGTAAACAATGGATAAATGTTTTATTCAAAACGCATTGGGGTACCTCAAGGTAGACGCTCAGATTTTCTTTAAATTTTTCACACACATCGGGCATGACCTAAATATCAATTCCCGAAAGTTTTAGCTCGTGCTTTGCAAGCGACACTGAGATATTGAACTATCTTTGCCGCAGAGAGAGTACGCTAAACGCGGAGAGCGGTCAGAGAAAAAACTTTTTTGGCCATAACTTTGTCAGTTTCGTGCGGAAAAAATTGATTTTTTGTATAGACATTACCCTTTACGGCAAAAATCGGTATTACTTTTTGTGCTGAAATTCCACAAAAATTGTCAAATTTTCGCCGATTTTCAATCTAAAAATCTCGGTTGTTTCTGCCAGGCGGGAGCTAGGATTGTCGCATATATTTAAGTAAAAATATTCTAAATTTATGCCAAGTTTCAACGAAATCTGAACGTCGCACTTGGGGTACTTCCCCTGTAAAAATGTCGTGAAAAAACCAAGAGTTTGTTTAACGTTATGCTGCTCTATTGTCATGTTTGTATTTTCAGCACGAATTCGAGGGCCAGCTCAACTTCTTGGACTATGCTCCGACGGTTGACGGTGACTTTATACCCGTCGATCCGGCAACCTTAATTGAATTGGCCAAGCCGAAGCCAACACTCGCGTCGTTGACTCAAAATGAGGGCCTGTTGTTTTGTAAGTTTCTGTGTAATTATGAAAAGGCCCTCACAGAAAGGTTTTAATTGCTGTGTATTTGATTGCTGATACCAAGCCACTTTCAGCGATTTACTTCCCTAGCGATGGCAGATTTTGGAGGCATGGTCTGGAGCAGGAGAAGAAAGACGCCTTCTCCGTTGAAGACTTCAAAGAGCACGTGAGAACAGCTGTTGTTCTTAAAAAAATCTTTGGCGATCAACATGAAGAGGTGGCTGAAGAGATTGCCAATTTCTACTTGGCAACTGTGGACCCTCAACAGCATGACAAGAACTTCTTTTTGGACATGTATGCTAAGGTAGGGGCAGGGAAGAGGCCTTCAAAGAAGCGAAAGTTTGTTTAGAAAACAACCAAAATATGGGCGCTACAATGACTATGATTTTCAGGTCTTTGGAGACATTATGTTTGCGATTCCTCAGCTTCGCGAGCTGAGGATGAAGCTGAAAGCCGGCTGGACCATTTATCATATCCTCAGCACCCATACCGCATATACGAAACGGAATTTCGGTCATGTGGAGTGTCACCATACCACACACGGCATCGAATACGAATTCCTCTTTGGTCAAGGGGTTTTCGGAAACACAACGATAATGACGGAAGAGGACGAGGAATACAGAAAATTGCTCGTTGGAAGTGTCGTCGAGTTTGTGAAAACTGGGTAGGGATTGGGGTTTAAAGACGATCTTACTAGGAGCAATCGGCTCATATCGGTTTGTCGGAAAAATAGAAAGCGCAATCGCTGAAATGAAAACATATTTGGTTATGATTTTAATATTTGTCCTGCCGGAAAGTCGACTAAAATCGGCGACGTTCTTTGCACCATGAAAACGGGTTTTCTGTCCCTTTAACTTTGACTTTGTACATCCTTCCATTTTTAGCTCCCCTAAAAGCGAGTTGAACCCAAATTTTGTCGCTCTCTCCCCAAGCAGACCGCTGATCTACACCGATCTCTCATCCGAAGCCGTCATCAAAGAGCCTCTGTTCGGAAGGGAGCTGGAGTTCTGGGACAAGATGTCCGACAAACTGCATTTCGACATTGTCTTTGGCGTTCACAAAGACCAAAAAAAGAGGAATGAACTTTGATTACAAAATTGTGAAAAAGCAAAATAAAGATTTTAGATCTCTGCTGGTCATCGTATTTTTGGCGGTTGGAAGATTCATATAGTGGCTAGAGCTATCCAATGAGGACGTTTTAGCAAAGCCTGGCTTTAGCTAGCTAGCTAAAAAAGGGAAAAAATATTTCGCCTTTTCCCCCGACCGTCCGTTTCAAAAGAGCGCAAAAAAATAATACAAAAAGCAATCATCGACACAAGTTACACCTGTATCTTTCGCTTTCCAAAAGGTTAATGCGCTTTAACAAGTGGAAGATCAAGTCAGAAAAGTCTCTTTAACTCTCGCCGCACCTCTATATTTTCGACAAAAGCTGCTTGTCTTTCGAAATCAAGGTTCAAGAAATCAAAATATTGAACTTTTCGAAAAATTTTGTAGTCTAACGATTCGAAAAAAGTTGAAACTCGTCAAAAAATAGATAATATTTCGAAATTGTTGCGCCTTTCCCGATGAGAGGCATGAAGGTATTTAAGCGGTAAAAAAACTTTTCAACTCACCTTATTGTCACGCTTGTATGCTCTTGTTGTTGTTAGGTTGTGCATTTCTACTACAAGCAATGAGTTCCGCATCCGATCCAGTGCTGGAAACTGACATCGGACGATTTGTTGGCACCCTGTTGACATTCGAGAGTGGCGTAAAAGTTGATGCTTTTTATGGGGTTCCGTTCGCCAAGCCGCCGGTTGGACCACTCAGGTTTGAGGTAAGGTAAGTAAGGGGGATTCAAGTATCCTTAGTTTAAGGCCAAAGCGAAGGCAGTTTATAATCTCCTTTTATTTCTTCTGCAATTTGGCACAGCTTTCGATAAAACGTAGTTGAAAACACTAGCAACTTTTAGAGACAAGGGGGATTTTTAGGGGAAAATGAATTCATTTATTTACGAATACTTGAAGATAATAGTGCCTGAAAGGCTCAGGAAATGAAACATGCTTAAATTTGGTCATACTAAGCTTATAGAAACCCAAACCCGTTTGGCTACCGCAAGCTTATTTTTGGCTTCTTCAATTTTATTTATTCAAAATGTCCGCTTTTTTGGCAGTATTAATGTCTCCGAACAGGAACATATGACCCATATGAACATACGTTTCCTTGTTCACGTCGAAATCACTTTTGATTTCCAGAAACCTCAAGATGCCGAGTTCGTCGAAGAAAGAGAGGCAAAAACGATGCCGAAAGTCTGTATCCAAGTGTTTTCTCCGTTCGAGCAAAGCGAAGACTGTCTGTACATGAATGTCTTCAGACCGCACGAGAAGGTAAGAAAGGGAATTCCGCAATAAACTTGATATTCCATACAGAGTGACTCTGTCGGCTATCCAGGCTTCTTCTATATTCATGGAGGAGCATATCAGGTCGGATACTCCCATCAACATACCACTGATTATGTTGCTGAGCACTATGCTGGTCAAGGTATGACGGTGATCATTCCTCACTATCGTCTTGGAATTTACGGTGAGCTATTAGTAAAAATATGGAATTTATTCTTTCAAGGGTTTGCCGCAACCACGGATAAAGCCATCCCCGGCAACTACGGTCTTCACGATCTCCATCAAGCCCTCCGTTTTACTCGGCGCAACGCCAAAGGCCTGTATTTGGACAATGACAGGATAACGGTTGGAGGGTATAGTGCCGGCTCTGCTGCTGCCAGCGCGTTGTCAATCAGCCCGTTGACGCACAATCTGTTCAGTCAGGTCGTTCAGTTTAGCGGCTCCACTTTGGCTGAATGGGCATTCTCAAAAAGAGGTCTGGAAGTGACTGATCGGGTTGTGAAAATCTTGGGATGCGCGGGCAAGGACGTGAAGGAGTGCATGAAGAGCAAGACGGTTGAGGAGATTGAAAACGCTGCGAAACAGGCGGTAAGCAACCCGTTAGTTCTTGATTTTAGAGACTGGAGATTGTTACAGTGGGGGACCTGATCCAGTGGCAAAAAACGTACCATTTTGCATCCGGGAAGTATCCAAAATGTGGCAAAATGCTTCCTTCTCGGAAAAACTTCGATTCTCTTTCTCTTTTTTTGTGAGGGAATGTGCGCCCTTCAAAACAAAGTTTTTTCACTTGGAGAGGGAGGTATTTTGCGACATTTTTTGATACTTCCTGGTCAAAATGGTACGTTTTTTCCCACCAGATCAGGTCCCCCACTGTAGGAAAACAAAACAATTTTGTAATCGTCCTTCTTTTTTTATATTTTGACACTTGTTTTTATCTAATTTTTTTCGAAAATGAATGCTTTTTCAGCACGAGTTTGACGGCGAGATCAACTATTTCGACTATTCGCCAACCATCGACGGTGACTTTATCCCGGTTCATCCATCATTCCTCATTTCCTCGGCCAAACCAAAGCCAACTCTTGCGTCGCTCAACGAAAACGAGGGTCTATTGGGATGTAAGTTGTTGCTGGAATTCTTTTAAAATACTATCCTTCTTTTATCATCCAATTAATTTTATTTTTGACCATTTACACGCCGCATGTATTAGGGTGTCCCATAAGTCTTGTGCATTTTTGGGTCGTCGATTTTTGCGAATTCCTGTGAGCTTTCTGGCGCATTACGAGATATGTTGGACATACGGTTTTGAAGCTCAGAAATTGCGCTTTTAAACCATGTATATCATGGCTGAAAAAAATCCACCTGCTACCCGCCCTACCCCAATATTGTGCTAGATATTTAAAAAATTTTCTTCCTGATGTTATATCTTTTGCAGCGATATATTATTCCGGCGAGGGCTGGAATCACGGACTGCCCAAAGAGAAGAAGGACAATTTTACCGTCGAAGATTTCAAGGAGCATATTAGAAACACTGTTGTGCTCAGAAAATTCTTTGGCGATCAGCACGAAGAAGCGGCCAAAGAGGTCGCCGATTTTTATTTGTCAACAGTGGAGCCGAAAGACCGCACCAAAGAGTTTCTATTGGATATGTACGCAAAAGTAAGCAGCTATGACACTTTTTATGGCATCGTTCTCAGCTAGATAATTCTTAAATTTCATCAAAAATGTTTTTCAGGCCATTGGCGACGTCATGTTCGTGATTCCTCAGCTCCGCGAGTTCCGGCATAAGCTGAACTCGGGCTGGACCGTTTACAATATTATGAGCACGTACAACGGGTATATCAAACGGAATTTCCCGCACGTTGAGGTGCAAAAAACTACGCATGGAATGGATTATGAGTTTCTTTACGGTAGAGAGGCTTTCGGGAGAACGCTCGGATTCACGGAGGAAGATGAGCCTTACAGAAAGTTGCTGGTCGATAGTATTGTCAGTTTTGTCAAGACAGGGTGAGTCTTGCGTTGTTGGGAAAATTGAGCCTGCCTGGCAAGGAAGAGAGCCGAAAATTTGCGTGCGCCGAAAAAGGATGAATGAAAAATTCGTTCTGAAGTGCAGAAGAGTTTGAGTGAATTTCGAGCTCAGATTTTGTTCAAACTTTACTAGTTTTCTCTGCATAGCTTTAGGTCAATTTCTGAACATTTCGCCGTGTTCTTTTCATTCGGGGCAGAGATATTAAAGGGCCCGTACAGCTACTTTGAAAAGAGATTTTCTAGGCTTTGGGTGGCCTTCCGCTTTATCGTTTGTTTTCGTGGCGGGACGCACCGAGACTTGATGTAACTTTGTTTGATCCAATGTGATGAATATTAGATTACAATACATAAGAACGCCTCCCGAAGCCGAGAAAATCCCTTTTCAAAGTAGCTGTACAGGCCCTATAAAACGAACAGAACCAAAGTTTTTTGTGAAAAATCTCGAAAAAAATCTCATTTTTGCGAACTTTCCACTTAAAAAATTACGGTTGTCTCTGCAAAGCACAAGCTAAAAATTTCGGATTCCTCATAACAATATTATATCTCAATTCACGCCAAAAATCATCATGATCGGCTTGTCGAGTCTTCAGCAATCTTATCCATGTCTTTTCAGCTCCCCAAAAAGCGATTCCAACCCGAATTTCGAAGCCATTTCGTCGGCAAAGCCGTTGGTTTACACCGACCTCTCCAGTGAAGCATTTGTGAAATCGCCCTATTTCGGTAGAGAATTTGAATTCTGGGACCATATGGCCGAGAAATATCGCTACGACCTCATGTCCGGGACTTACAAAGAGGACAGAGAGAGGGTTGAACTTTGAATATTCACAAAATTTTTTTGAAATTTGTGTGTATTTTTCGATTTATTATACTTTTTCTGCGGTCTAAACTTACTGTTCGTCACTTTTTTTTTTGAGAAAATTGCATTTTTGTCTAGCTGGTAACTAGTATTTATTAGCAATAAATGTCAATTTTTTTCATGGAATGTGGGATTTTAAGTGAAACTTAAAATTGTTCGGATGAAAGACAAGATAATTTCAAAATGGCAGTAAAATACGGTTAAATATCGGAAAATTTCAGCAGTCAAGAACACCATTTTTTGACTGAAAATTGAGTTTTTCCGACCAAAATCATCATTTTCTGTTATTTTCGTAATTTCTCTCTCTTGTTCAAAGATTTTCTCTGGAAACAAGGTCAAAAAAGAGTCCAATGAACGCCTTAGTACATTCTAATAATATCCTCAAGTTTTTTCCGCCGAAGGTCCGGAACATGTGCGTCTTCTTGCGGATATCCGATGGGCAAAATCAACATGGCCTTTTCATTGTCAGGGCGCCGCAAAAGTTCACGGATCCGACCACCTGCGTTCAGTGGGGCTGTTGTTACAGTGACTAGTCCAACGTTCTGAAAAATTGCGTCGTTTGTGCGAAAATTCAACGAGTGAAAGACTTGACTCAGTCGTGGAAAACTTGGCCATTGAGAGGTAAGACTTGACCCAAAATTTTTTTTTATAAAAAAAAATAATAGAGATAAGACTTGACCCAAACCAAAAGAATAAAGAAAATAAATGTAATTTGAGGTATTTAAAATCAAATTTAATTTATTGCGGGCAAAACTTGCCGAACCCCCGATTTTCGAATTCGAGGGAAACACTTGACCCAAAGCCACAAAAAAACACAAAATAGGCGCTGAAATGCACACTAATAGCGACATTGCATTCTACATAAAACCCAAGCATTTTTGAAAAACACAGCGGCCGGAGAAACACTTGACCTATCAGAGGAAGACTTGACCCCAAAAGCGCCATTGGCCAAAAAGGAAGAGCAAATATAGAGGGCGTATTTCAGACCCTAAATAAAGAAAAAAGTAAACCATCAGTTTACCTGAATGGCAGCCAGCAAAATCCCAACAGCAATACTGCAGCCCATTTCATTATAATAGGTGATTTGACGCTCTCCATCTGGTTTTATTTGGAAGATCTGAAAAAAATTCATTTGTTAAAGGTCTAAAAACAAAGTCGTTTTGATTTCCCAATCCGTATAGCCATCTTTAAAAACCTTTAAAAAAATAATTTTTTACATGTTTCATAACGACGATGACGTAGGGTGCTTCCGTAATATACGGCTTATTCCAATGGACGCTGAGATGGTCCACATCCAACACCCATTTGGCGCCGATCCTCCTTGTGTAGTTCCGTTGTTCCTCCTCTTCGATAATCGCCCTCAAATTTCGTTTGATTTTGTGGCTATGGATAACACAAAATGTCCACGGTTGAAGATTTGCCCCGCTTGGAGAGGCGCCTAAATTTGGAAAATTCAAAAAATAAATTCGTTTTATCACTATGATTACAATTTTCATGCGTTTTGCTCTACCTACCAGCTGTTTTAATCAAATTTTGGATGACCTTCAATGGAATATCTTTGTCGCTGAAGCAGCGAACGCTCCTTCGCAACTTCATGTGCTCGTAGAAGGATTGAGATTTGGCCATCATTTCCTCCTCCGAATAACATAAAGGAATGTAGGGAACCTCTTTGTACAGATGAAGATCCTCTTGCAAATCGAGGACATCCAAGTCCGAGCCCACACCTTTTTCGGCGTACTCTTTTTTGACTTGCTGAAAAGCGTTGATTTCATTGGCTAAATAATCAAGGTTTGATTCGAACTAAACTTGGCTTGGCGACTTTACAAGCCGACTATTGTAAAGTCGCTATAGTAAACGCTTACCGTGCTCAACGACCTCCGCAGCCTCTCTCTCTCCTCTTCCATCTCCCTCAATTTTGTGACCTTGGCCGACTGTCGATGCCCCCTCTGGCCGAACATTGTATAGAGTTGATGCAGAATAAAGCACAGCACAATCGTAGAGGCCGCCACATTCAGATGCCAAGGCTCGACAGCGTCGTAGACTCGTTGCCAAAGCTTCTTGGGTTGACCCGTATCGTCCAAGTTTTGGGTGGCCATCAGGCCTGCAAAGTAAATGCGTCTACGAGCAATCATGATGGGGACAAAAAGAAGTGAGATCGAGGAACGGGCATAGGGCAAACAAGAAGCCGATGGATCATAAAACCCGGTAGTAAAATGGATAATGAACCATAAAAACAAATGGTTGAGTTTCAGGAAAAAAGTAACTCGGACGAAGGACAAAGATTATAGCAAGGTGGGAGGTGTATGTTAGCTTTTTTCGGCTAGCCCTGGTCACACATCGCTTCCCATTTCACAAGTATTCAAAACACTATATAACATGAAATAGTATTTCCTCTCCATGCTGATATAAACCCCTTAAACACTCACATATACCAAGATTCCTTCCGAATCTCTCACCTCATTTCTCACCCATCCCATTTATATATTTACTCTTCCACATCCGGTTTTCCTCATAAAAATTAATAAAACCCCGGGAATCAAGATCAATCGGCACAAAGAGCCCAAAAAAATCACGTCCAAAATCTCTCCCACCCCCAACAATCGGCCGTGGGCCGCTCGAATCAAACGCCCATCCGCTTTGAGGGAGATTATTTTTTGGGCGGCAAAAAACAAGGACGTCCACACACCTGTCTTCTTACGCAAATCAGACAGAAATTTCGGGGCCACGTAATGCCCGCCGAGCATGGAGGATGGGGAATGACAAAGTGTAGGTGAACTTTTTGCTCCTTTGCACCGTGCAATTTCTTGCTTTTTGCACGTCATTGGCTTTTGCGGCTAAAGTTTTCACACTGAAGCGAATAAATATTACTAATAACAAGGGACGTGTGCCAAGTTTTACGGTCAATTATTCTTCTTTAAATTTTGCAAACGCATTGGGAATAGGGTCGGTGTTATAATTCCAGAGAGTCTTATACTGGAAAAGGCGACGATGAGCCGACGCCCAAGGGCGAAAAAAAAAAACCCCTGTAAAGTTGTGACACCAATTGAGAGAGGAGTTCTTCGCAATCACAATGATGCCGCAATTATGCCTTAACGCCCTCTGGCTTACGAGTTACAAACATTTTTTTCCAAGGTGGAAAGAAAATTTTGTCATCCGTTTTTTCGCCTTTTTCAAAAAAAAGTGCATGGAAAGTGCACCAAGTGATAGGATTTTTTAGGTAGGCTGTTAGACTGTCCCACAATGTTTCTGTGCCCAATTTCAAGGTTCTATGCCCAGAAGTTCCCTAGAACCAGATGGAAAGAAAATTTTGTCGCCCAGTATCGCTCGCGCATTGCAGAACGAGCCGGAGTATTTAATAATCTTTACGGCAGAGAGTGGACGGAAAACGTGGAGAAAAAAATTTAACAAGTTCGAAGACCAATGCCAAAATGAACCTCAGTATTACAAACACATCCGCCCTCTGTATTATATTGATATTTCTGCAAGTATCATAATTTATTTTTCGGGGGTTCACTATAAACAAAATGGACGATATGTTTCTATTTTTCGTTTTTCATCGTGATTATATTCATTATGATTATTGGGCAGATATCAAACACGCTTCTTTTGTTCCATGCTCTGATCCTTATATTAGCCTCTATTTGTGACCACTTCATCGATCAGTTTGTCCAATTCATCCGCAATTCTCGTCCTTCCAACGCTCCCATTTTCTTCCACATTGTCCATTAAAATCTGTTGCGGCACTTCCGAGTTCTCCTTTGTTGGGCTCTCCGATTCGTCCAGGAAATTCATTGGAGGCGACTCCATTTCCACTGGTCTGTTCTCATAGGTCAGTGGGAAAGGCCGTGGCTTTTTGATCACAACAGTTTTCTGGGGCCTGGCTTCGGTTTGGCGGATGATATAAGACGGGCTAATTCGTTTTGGGACAAGATACCGGGCTCGTGGTGGTGCTGGTCGAGGGGCCATCACGGGATGTTGAGGTTGATATCTGAACGGCGGGATCGGATCTTCCGGCACTGATGCTGAAACAGGAAAAAATTTAGCAAGAGAAAACTTAAGTTAAAGGTTAGTATCAAAGTAGATATTTATTAAGACCATGATTATGTAATTTTTAAAAAGTAATTTTCCAAGGCTCTTACCATTCGAATCATGATGATATTTCTCCCCAATTTTCGTCCTCTCCGCCTGATAACCGGACGTTCCAGCCTTTGGATATTGCTGATATCCAGCGCCAACTCCAACATAGCGATGCGGCGGCTGCATTGACGGTGCAATATCAGTCCGCACCACAATGACTTTCGGCTCCACTCTCCGCCGTTTGGGCCGCTCTTCGCTCGGTGTGTCCGAGTATTGGAAATGCGCCGGCGGCATTCCCATTCTGCCCTCGATGATCGCGTCCAAGTCGCCGGGGTTGATCATCGCCGACGCGATTGTTGTGGCACTCCGCTCTTTCCATTTCCGGATCTCGGCGTCGATTTTGTCGTCTTTCTCCGGGTTCAGGCGCCACAGAAACGCCTTGCGGCTTTGCACATCGCCCACGTCGAAATCCACCTTTTCAAAGCATTGGTTCAACGAGAGGTTGTGACGAATCGAGTTCTTCCAGCCAGACGGCGCTTCGCGGAAGAATGGAAAATGATGACTAAAAAATTGTTGTATTAGCAAGGGAAATACTCCTTTTTAAATACGACGCTCAGATTTTGATTAAACTTGCCATAAATTTACAGGGGAATTACCTCAAGTGTGACGCTCAGATTTTTTATGAAACTCGGCACAAACTTAGAATATTTTTCTCTACGACATATGCGAGAATTCTTGCTCACGCTTTGCTGAAACAACCGAGATTTTTAGATCGAAAGTCGGCGAAAATTTGATAATTTTTGCCGAACTTCGGCACGAAAAGTTTCATGCCTATTTTTACCATATAGGGAAATGTTTCCATAAAAAATCAAATTTTTACGCGCGAAACCAGAAAAGTTATGGCCCGAAAGGTGTTTTTCTCTCTGACCGCTCTCCACGCTCAGTTTACTCTTTCGGCGGCAAGATCGTTCAATATCTCGGCAGCGCTTGCAAAGCGCGAGCTAAAATTTTCAGGAATTGATAAATTGATATTTAGTTCATGCCTCACGTGTGTGCAAAATTTAAAGAAAATCTGAGCGTCGCACTTGGGGGTATTTCCCTTGTTTTCGAAGACGGAACTCTAGTTCACTCTTTGCAAAACGAGATCTTTAGATCAAAATTTTGGCAAAAATGTAATGCGCTTTGGCAAATTTTGGCTTAAAAATTTTCATGTCTCTTTCTACCATGGGGTAATGTTTCCACAGAAAAGCAACTTTTTCCATGCAAAACGGCAAAAATACGGTCAAAGTGCGCATCGCACTCCGCCTTTCTCCTACTTTTCCTTGGCTCCAAAGATCTCGAACCCTCGCCTAGCTCTGCAAAGCGCGAGCTAACAAAATTCTAAGATTTTCAAGCTTTAATATTTGGCCAATGTGCGTGCAAAAAATGTCGAGAATCTGAGCGGCCCACTTCCAACAATTCCTTTATAAAATGGTTCCACTTACCATAAAAATCTGTAAATCTCCGAAACAGCCAGTTCCCCATCTTCGGCGTTCCGTAACGTCATCCCAATCAACGCGCAATACGAGAAATTCGGTTTTTTGAATCCATTATTCGTCCTGAACTCGTCAATTGGCCTTCTTTTGAGTTTCCGCTTCACAACCGGCTCTGATCTCTCTTCCACGTCCAGGTATTCAATTGGACTTTGGGCTGGCGGAGGCTGTGCTGGAGGATTGATGGGCGGTAAATTGACAACTTTGGGCTCAACGTATTCTTGTGGGTAGTCGAAATTCTCAATATTCAGCCCAGAGAAGTCATTCTGCCCGTAGCTGGTGAAGGAGTCGGTGTAATATTGGTCGAGGGAGAGGTTTTCGGTGGGGAAAAAGTCCTGAAATTAGAGCGTTATGGTATGAAGTGGAAATATTTTTGGAAAAATGGGACTTTCAAATTGCAAACTTAGTGAAAATTTAGCGAAATTTTAACCATGAAATATTGAGGTATCTTCAGTTTTTTTTTTGAAAATTTTTATATCGAATTTGATGACATTTTTTGGACATTGCTTACCGACTGAAACGTCTCCGGATTGGCCCAACTTGCCTCGGGCATTTCATGACTTTGAAGGTTTAATTCTTGCTGGAACAAAGTGTGATCGTTATCGTCTTCGAACTCGTATCTAAAAAGTTTTTTACCATCATGAGCAAAATGTCAAAAAAAAAATAGAAGAAATCCCAAGAGTTTACGAATGTTACAACTTACTGGATCATCGTCAAACACCTTTGAAATTGCCAATTAAAGTTATGCCAACTTATTCCTCTCCTCCCAATTTACAAAACCCAATAAGTTTATTGCAGAAAATCGGTTGGTCCAAGAAGGATTTTGGCGCCAAAATTCTTCGCCCTGACTCGAAGGAAAGAGCAGAAGGTGTGAGTGTAAAAAATAATTGCATGCGAATAAGTTTTACAGAGAAATCTACGGTGCTGATAGACAGAAAAATCATTGGCCTGAAATTACCGCGAGGCAATTTTAATGAGACAGGAAAAGAAAATGTAGATAAAAATTTGACGTTATGTACACACATATGATTAGAAATTATATAGTAAAGTAAGTTTTAAAATCTACATATACCAGTGTGCAGCATAGAAAATCGCATCTCCGTCGAGAAAATTTAATGTGTTGCGACACAAAGTCAAGTTGCTTTTCAATTCAGCGACAGAATCGGCGCAGCGACATTTTGCTCATTATGTTCCCGACAAACTGATATTTCCTTGTGACAACAATACACCTGAAAAAAATATGGCTACTGTAAATCCAAGGCGCTTTTATACAGATATTCCACGCCCGAGTTTCTTGCAAATTTGAAGAAAATACAAGCGTCGCATTTGGCGACTTAGACGTATAACTGTGGCATTTTCGTTGTGCATTTTTACAGGTAGAATTAAATATTTAGAATGTCTGTTAATATCACCTGAAAGCACGTTGAAAACGCTATCTACTGATACATGCTTCTTGTGGTCAAGCTTATCATAGCGTTTTTTATAAAGCTTCAAAGATGACCAACTTTCGTCCCAGAAAAATGTCCTTTCGTCTTAGAAAGTGGCTGCGGCCCCCAAGAAAAATATTTTTTATGAGTTGTTGTATGAATTTTTTACTAATGTGTTATAGTATGAATGTCACATTTTTACTTATTATAATATTTCTTTTCGGCCTTCATGGAAAACAAACAAAACCAAAGGGCGTTTCAAACGAAAAGCGCCGTTCTTCAGACAGTCTTTGAACGAGCATAATCTCGTTTAGCGGTACCGGAAAACAACTCGAATATGAAAAGAGGGAAAAGTTCCGGCGGGAAAATACGAAAATACGATCCTCTTTGTCTACAGTTTTGGCTTCCACACTTTGTCAAAAGTGCGTAGACTGCAATGCATGCGACAAAGAGTCTACGCACTTTTCATAAAGCGTTGTAAACACTTTTTAATACTTTTGTATTAATATTTTTGGATCGTAAATGTATTGAGTCCTGTCGGGAAAATAATGAGCACTCTGTCGCATCGCATCACCGCTGAGAAAATGGATTGTAGCGCGAGAAAATCAAATTAGTTTTCAGTTCAGCGACGTGATTAGCGCAGCGACATTGTACACATTATTTTTCCGACAATATAATAACAAGTATTTCTCATCCTTTTTTCAGCAATCCGTCACTTAAAATTTGGTGATACTTGGTACAAACTTAGACTACATTTTTTCGGATTTTTTCTCTGAACGCTCTCCGCATTTCTCGCACTCTCTCGTCATCAAAGATCATTGAATACTACCACTAAAAATCGAAGTTTGCATAACAGATATTTATATGTATGCCTACGCAATATAAGCGAATGTTTGGGTTTCGTGGCCAAGATGGCATCCATTTTGTCATGTGACAAGTCTTCAGTTTATGCAAATTACCCTCCGCTTCTAAATTCATTTCTCTTGGAATGCGAGAAATTGAATTTAGCGCAGACTTTCGAAACGTTCTAGAGAGATTGGCGAAGGGCAAGTGGGAACGGTGCGGACCGTGATCTTTTATAAGATTTTGGGGAAATCTCATAAAAAGAATTTCCGCGTGCAAACTTGTTGTTGCTGAAACAAGCTTACTTAGGGAGAGGGCTAGGGGGTTTGTTTCGATTTTTGTTTGTAGCCTTTGGTTAGTGTCACGGTCTTTTTTTGCAAATCTCGCAAGCCAATCTTTGAATAAATCTGGAAAATCAGCCAACATTTGCTTACAGCAGGAAATTCTTCTAAGCATGGGTTTGGCAGTTAGATGTTGCGAGCTGAGCTTCCAGGTGTATAATAAATGGCTGGAAAATTGTTGCCATGCTGTTGTTGAAGGCATCTTTTGCTCGGAGTTGGACGTTGGGGGAAGCCGAAATGTATAATATTATTTTTTTTTGATGCAAGTGTCGAAATAAGGATAATCGATGGTGTTGATTTCGAAAAGTACATTCATTTTTTGATACTTACTTTTTTTATCAGTAGTACTGTAAAGAAGTAATTTTTTAGAATTTTTTTCACAAATACTCGATTTGGGAGGTTTCGATGGCGCCGAATCTTATTTATTTTTTTATGACTTGAAAACAGCACCATCGAAAATCCCAAATCGAATATTCATGAAAAAAATTCAAAAAATTACTACTTTACAGCACTGCATAAGAGGAAAAGTAAATATCAAAAAAAAATGGATGACATTTTTAGAAATCAGCACCTTCCGGTATCCTAATTTTCGGTTTCCCCAATCGATATGCTTCTCGTAAAACTAATTTTGTATTAGTATTCAAAAATTATTGAAAAGCCAGCAACAACCTTTGTTCTACCTGGATATGACGTTGTTTTTTTTATTTGCCTCGTATAACCGCTCAGAATTTCCTCCCTAACTACTACTTAGCCCTTCGCCGTGTGTTTTCATTTGGCCAAGAGCACATTTTTACAGTTCAGTTCACTTAGACATAGAAGCGTGCAGAAAATTCTATAATTTTTATTTTAGAAGCTTTTTGGTGCAGACTGCGTTTAAATAGACATTTTTCGAGTTTTGGATACACATAACATACATACATACATGTGTTTTCTCATCTGGCGCTGATGTTTACTCGTTTTTAAATTTTATTACTAGCAGGGAAGGACTCCAAGTTTGATGCTCGGATTTTGTTATAACTTGGCATAAATTTAGACCAATTTTTTGTAACAATGACATGTGAGACTGCTAGCTAGCTCTTTCTAGAAACGGCCGAGATTTCTAGATCGAAAATCTGGAAAAATTGACATCTTTCTGGCACGTTTTGCCATGAATAGTCCCACACAGATTTCTACTGTAGAGAGTAATGTTTCCACAAAAAAGAAATAATTTTTTCTATAGCAAAACGGGTAAAGATACGGCCAAAAAATAAAATTTTTTCTCTCTGAACACTCTCCGCCTTTCGAACACTCTCTCAGCCGCAATGATCGTTGAATATCTCAGCAGCGTCTGCAAAGCGCGAGCCAAAACTTTCAAGAATTAACATGCGGTCTATGCCTGACGTCTACGCAAAGTTTAAAAAAAACCTGAGCGTCACATTTCAATTACTCCCCTTGTAAAGTTTTTGTCTTTTGAAAGTTCCATGGCCATTAAAAATGACGTTATTCTTTAATACTCGTTGTAACTTTCAGTTGCGTATTTAAAAATCTAAATATACACATAGCAGAGATTATTGTTCGTCAAGTAACTTTTTGTTGAAATTACTCTGTGTAAAAGTGCATATTCCGGACACAACCCATATTATAACGTGTGGGCTGCCACAAAAACCGAGGTTCCGGGTCGAAAACATACTTAAGTCGAAGGTCTTTGGAGGTTTTGTTAAGAGAATGTCGGAAAAATTGTTGTTTTCTTTGTGGAGGTGGGCAGGGGGATAGATATAAGACAGGGACGTGCGGGAAAAAAAAGTTCTGGAATTTTTTCTACCACAGGTAAAAAACACTTTTTTTATCACCCCGCTCTCTTTTCTAGAGCTTTCAAAAATGTCACAAATTGTAAAACGAACATGTCCTTTTAGGGTTTATTACACGTTTCTGAACGGAAGTGCGACTTCACAAAGTCTAACATGCCTTTCGACTCAATGTTTTTTGGCGCGCTTCCAGCCAATTCTTTGATACTTTTTTGTGTGTACTCAATTTTCACTGTTATCGTTGACAAGGCTAATAATGTTTAGAGGCTATCAAAAAGTGGTACAACCTGAAATCCCATATTGATACTTTTTTGCGTGTGCTCACGTTTTAGAAGTAAATATTTCTGCTTATTTTTGTTTTTATTGCCCTTTGAAAACATCAAAAATTTTCTTGTTTACAGTGAGGGACGGGATCCAATGGCAAAAACGACTCATTTTGCATCCCGGAAGGGACCAAAATGTCTCCAAACCCTTCCCTTTTCTAAGCTAAAGAACCCCGATTTGAAGAGCCCGCCTTGAAGGAAAGGGCGCGCTTTTCAAAGCGGAGTTTTTTAGCTTAGAGAAGGGAAGGGTTTGGAGTCATTTTGGCCCCTTCCGGGATGCAAAAGGAGACGTTTTTTGCCATTGGATCAGGTCCCTCACTGTATTTATCTTTTTGTCTGTGATATCGGGCATTTACTTACCATCGGTTTAATTTTACTTTATCCAAAAAATTTGGTCTCCAGGCCAAGTGATACAAACCGCGAATAAAAAATCCTTTAAAACACTAGTTTTTGATTCACCCACCCACACTCAATAGCTTCTATACACGCAAATTGTGGGTGTTCATTTAGAACCCGCAAATTGGTCGCCTTTATCTTGAAAAAGATTCCTTATAGCGTCAAGAAAATGTGAAAAAATTGTGTAGACTTATTAGCATCTGAAGACTCTGTTAGGAGTTCGGTGACCGGAATAGGCTCTCCGCTATTGGTTTTTTACACTTCGTCTTGATTTCACAGAGAAGTCAGAGAAAAGACGCGCAAAAACGCACTCTCTCGCCCCAAAAATTCCCCATTTCTTTCGCGACGAAAAGTTTTTTGCCTCTTTTTTTGGCAAAGTGTCAATCCATTCAGCGGAACCTTTTAGCTTATCTCAGTTTGACGTGCATCGTGTTTCTGAACATTTCTTCCTGTCAATTTATATTTGATGCTATTATTTTGGTGCAGCGCACGTTGTGCTCTCTAATTTTCTTGACTCTGGCTTCTAATTTCTCAACAATGCCATATATGTATATGTAGATATAGATATTTGAGAAATCAAGAGTTCAGGTCGGCAGTCTGCTAGATTCTCGGGGGATTTTTTTGAAATATTACAATTATTTTTCATTCATCTAGTTACGACAGGTTTATCTTTGATCAACTTTAATTCCGTTCAACTGGGAACTTGATAATATGTAATAACATGCCTGCCCACACTTGCTAATGTCGTCATGTAGACATTAAAAAGGAGAGCTGCTTTTTATGGAATGTCTGGAACGTTGTGTACAGCTCCAGTGCATGTATTATATTTCTTTTCTCCTTTTGATAATTGGTGATTTTATAGTACATAAAACACTAATTAAGCACATCCTTGTTGAAATTTTCTTCCAGGGATGTTCATCACACCTCAATGGCAGGAAGAGCGGGTTTTCGCTTCCCCGAAAGTGCATGCTAGGATCTCAGACAGCAGTTCAATTAATTTCACGGCATTTCTGCTTCATTCTAATGTCCGTTTTCTTAGCTACTAATTAGGCCCACATTTTTGGCCGGTTATTAAACGTTCCTTCTTTTGGGAGGCGTAATTTGAAACCCTCCAAAGATTGGGTTGTGTCTAATCCGGCATACAGAATTAGCGCCTGTACGATAATTAATAAGTGAAGCCAGAGGTGTTAAGGTTGTTGAAACACAGGATTATGTAATTTCAATGAAATTGGATTGCGGGTTACGTTTTTTGGGGGAAAACGTGTCCGTTGCGGGATGATCCTGTAAAGTTATTGGGGAGATTGCAATTTCTTAGCCGGTGTAGGCACCTATCAATGTCGCTGCGCCGATCGCGTCGCTAAAGTGAAAAGCAATTTGATTTTACCGTAACACAATTCATTTTCTCGGCGACAATGCAATTTTCGACGCGACAGAATGGAGATTATTTTCCGACAGACTAATATTTTGGTCATTACGACGCTTTGCTTTTCTTTTGACTTATTTTTTTCATGTTTTTCTGTTCTGCTTTCGTTTTTATGTCATACAAAAGGCGCATTTCGAAAGTAGACTTGCGTATAATACATATGTAGTATATGTTCTTCTTTGCAAGCATATGGTGCTTCATAGAAGCCATTCGATATTCGTATTCGCTAATTACTGTATCTGGCTTCTCGAACCTCATGTTTCACAAGAATGGACACCTTGAAAATTGTTATATGTAAAACACTAATGTTTGTCTTTCTCATAGATAAGACTAATCGTACAAAAGTTACTTTCAAAGAAGAGTACAGCTTCTTTTGAATCACGCTTTTTACGGCTTGTGGAACGAAATGTCCAGAAAATATCTTTGTCCACTCTTTCAATAGCGACTGTGAAAATATAGCGGTATTCTACATGCTTACTGGTAATTATAAAATTTTACAATTTTGAACTTTTATGTAGTTTTACAATTTTGAACTCTGTTTCTTTTTAGAACATAAAAAAACTTTTTTGACATTCCGTTTCGCACGGCGTACAAAGCACGATCCAAGAGCTGTAGCTGTAAGACCCTTTCAGAACACTTTTTTGGTCTTGCCTGTCGGGAAAATAATGAGTGCAATGCCACTGCGCCGAAGGGAGCAGCAATTTGTTTTTGTCACTTCCTCGGCGGCGGTGCGATTTTTGATGCGACAGAGTGCTCATTATTTTTCCGACAGACTGATAAAACATCTTATTGGTTTCTACATTTTATCCGCTTGTTTTTACAACTCCTGCGCTTCAATCGACTTTGTTCTAGTGATATCTTTATGCCGTTTATTTATTGGTCCAAAATCCTTAACTGAGTTACCGCCGCTGAATTAAAAAGCAATTTGATTTTGCCACGACACAATTCATTTGCGATTTTCGATGCGACAGAGTGCTCATTATTTTCCCGACAGACTGATACGACTATTTTTGAAATAAAAATTTTTGGCAGAGATTCGACCTTTATGGTCCAGAATGACTCCCTTCTTCTGCAAAATTCGGTCCAATAGGCCTTCCGGAGCCTGAACGCTACAATTACTCCGAAACGAAAGTTTATTACTGGTTGCTAAAACATGCAGAGGGGTCTAACATTTTTACTTCGTTTTTCTTTTCACTTTTTTTTGATTAATAGTCGTTTAATTTTTTTAAATTTTATATAAAAAATTAAGAAATTATCTCGTTTCAGCAGCTTTCAAGCCTCCCAACATGCACTTAAACATCTGCCTTTCAACCTTATTCTTTGTCCTTCTGCAATACCTCAGTGAATCATCGCACATGCATCGACAGCACGTGAATACAACTCGGGACGTTAATACAACAGGTAAGAGTTAATGGGAAATCGTTGTGGTCAAGTCCTATTTTGATGGCGATATCGGAGTTGAAGTAGATCCCAAGTAAATATAAACCAAGAACAAGGTTTGATAACGTTTTCCGATAGGCGGTTTTCTTCCTTTTTGTGGAAGAAATTTTAACTCTACAGTGAGGGACCTGATCCAGTGGCAAAACACATGTCATTTTGCGTCCGGGAAGTATCAAAAATGTGGCAAAATGCCTCCCTCTTTAAGTGAAAAAATCCGTTTTGAAGGGTACCTCAAAAAAACAGATTTTTCCCATAAAAAGAGCGGGCGCGCTTTCGAAATAGGAGTTTTTTCACTTGGAGATTGAAGCATTTTGCCACATTTTTAATGCTTCCCGGATGCCAAATGATCCGTAAATGGCACGTTTTTTACCACTGGATCGGGCCCGTCACTGTACGATAGAAAGCGGTCAGAAACTTTCCAGAATTTGCTAACCCACAAGCTTTGCTTAACAATGCCGCATCCAAAAAACATACCTCTATTAAAAAGCTCACATCGATCTTTTAGAATGTGCTTCAAGACGTTTGCTGGGCTCGTTATTTGAATCATACGACAAAAGAATTCGACCGTATGCCGATCGCCGGGTTGCCGTTAGAGTCCACATGACCATCGTACTTGGAATTTTAATCGAAATGGTACGAAAACCAAACCCTTCATAAATCCAGTGAAATTTTTAGAGAGAAAACGAACAAGTAGCGGCGTATGTGATTTCACATATTCAAGTAAGTGGCGGCGTCATGTCAACTATTACGTTGGTGTTTTAGAGATGGCACGATCCGAAACTCGCATGGAATCCGTCGGAATACAACGGGACGAAAGAGCTGATTATCCCACAATCCATGGTGTGGCTGCCGAAAATGTTCGTATATAACAGGTAAATGGTTCAAAAATACCCTGCTGTAGGATGTCAGTTTTGCACAGAAGCAAAATACAAATGGGAAAATTGAAAATTTCCGTACTAGGCGTGCCAAAAAGTCTGGATATGTCTCTACAGCACACTTATGCTGACAAGGGAAGTACCCCAAGTGCGACATTCAGATTTTCTCTAAATTTTGCACACATGTCGGTCATGAACTAAGTATCAATTCCTGAAAGTTTTAGCTTGCGCTTTGCAAGCACCACCGATATATTGAATATTGATTTTTTGTGGAAACATTACTCTCTATGGTATAAATAGGCACGAAAATTTTCGTGCCGAAATTCGGCAAAAAGTGTCAAATCTTCGCAAACTTTCGATCTAAAAATCTCGGTTGTTTCTAAAAAGCGCAAGCTATAATTCTCGCATATATAATATTTTAGAAACAATTATTCTAAATTTGTGCCAAGTTTCATCAAAATATGAGCGCCGCACTTGGGGTACTTCCCCTGTGAGCGATTGAAACTGCGGTTTTCTGACGTTTCTTCCGCGTCAGGATTTTTTTTTTTGGCACACCTAGAACTTACGCAAAATTTAGGTAAAGTTTAAACATCCAAATCCCAAAAATTCCCTTGTAAATTCTTTCAACACAACTTCAAGATATTTGACTCTTGTCGCATAAAAAAGATCTCGTTTAGTATGGACACTAAGGACATGCTCACCGACGACAAGTATGATGTCCGAGTCCAAGCGGATGGAAGAGTCAAAATCAATATTCCTCAATATGTCACCTGCATTTGCCGCTTATATATTGAACAGTTTCCATTTGACACTCAATATTGCGCCGTTGCATTGGCATCACCGCTGCTGACGACCGCGGAAATGGACGTGTTTTCTCATCCGCCGCCAAAGGACTCGTATTTCTCTGTAAGCTTTTTAATATGTGATTCTTACACTGGATTGCCTTTACAAAGATGGTAATGCAATTTGCGATACGATTTTAATTTTTAGGGCAATGCGGAATGGCATTTGACAAACGTCTCAGTTCGGCACATGAGCTTCCTAGAAGAAGGAGAATACCGCGCCGAGGTAAGTGTTTCGTCCGGTGAAAGATGTCTTCATATTGAAATTTCAGGTCCACTACATCTTTCAGCTTCGTCGCCGCCCCGTCTTCTACATCACTGTCATTGTAGTCCCGATTTTTCTCATATCAGCGTTGAGTATTTTGGGAATTTTTACCCCAAGTGTCGATAATGGACCTAGAAATGAGAAGGTATGATGGTTGGATACAAATACAGTGCCGGACCTGATCCAGTGGCAAAAAACGTATCATTTTGCATCCGGGAAGTATCAAAAATGTAGCAAAATACCTCCCTGTTCAAGTGAAAAAATCAGATTTCAAAAGCCCGTGCGTTGTTTTTGTGAGAGGAATGGCGCGCCCTACGAAACGGTGTTTTTTGTTAGTTGGAGAGGAGGCATTTTGCTACATTTTTTCATACTTCCGGGATGCAAAATGATACGTTTTTTGCCACCGGATCAGGCCCCCTACTGAAGAGAATATGGCACGTCAAACTGAGAAGTCTGGTGATCGGAAGAGACTCCGCTACCACATTTTGTCTTGATTTCACAGAGAAGACAGAGAAAAGAAGCGCTAAACGTAGTCTCTCGTGCAAAAAATTCCCCATTTATTCCCTGAAAAAAGATTTTTCACGCCTTTTTTTGGCAAATCCATTCATCGGACCATCTCAGCTTGTAGTGGGGGACCTGATCAACTGGCAAAAAACGTACTATTCTGCATTCGGGAAGCATCAAAAATGTGACAAAATTCTTCCTCTCCAAGAGAAAAAACTTCGTTTTGAAGGGCGCGCCCTTTCCCTCACGAAAAGAGCGGGCGCGCGTTTGAAATCGGAGTTTTTTCACTTGGAGAAGGAGGTATTTTGCGACATTTTTGATACTTCCCGGATGCAAAATGGTACGTTTTTTGCCACCGGGTCAGGCCACTTACTGTAGAGCAAATGGCCATTTGCATCATTGCCCAGGTTCCCATCTTAACCGATCTTTCTTGGCAAAGCATGAAAGAAACGATTTCCAGACCCGCTCCCTAATCTTCCCTCTGATTTCAGGTCTCCCTTGGCCTGGGCTCCCTCCTTTCGATGACCGTCATCCTCGGGATCCTGGCCAGCGCGATGCCGAAGAGCAACTCGATCCCCCTCCTTGGCTACTACATCCTGGTCGTCATCATCCTGTGCGCGTTGGCCGTGGGCCTCTCAATGTGCCTTCTGACAATGAGCCGAAAACTGGTGGAGCGCTCTCGAGTACCCTCACAATTTACATATCGCATAATGTTTCTGCTCCCCAAAAACTTTACGGTCAAAAGTGTGCCACGGCATTCGATTTTCCGGCCCTCCTTTTCGCTGCATGTGAATAATACGAGCAGCGTGACGATGGCGAACGGAAGCCTAAAGAATGTTGAAGTGAATTCGCTGAAGAAGGAGCGGATCAGAGACCCGTTGATGAGACAGGCGAACAGTGTGGACAGCCCGTCGGAGAGTGGGTAAGCAAGATTTCGGCCAAATTTTGAAGGCGATTTGAGTTGAAATTTTCGATTCTTCACAAATAACATGAATAGTAAAATGGGGGACCTGGTCCAGTGGCAAAAAACGTACCATTGTGCATCCAGGAAGCATCAAAAAATGTGATAAAATACCTCCTTCTACAGGTGAAAGAACACAGATTTCAAAAGCCCACCCGCTCTTTTTGAGAGGAAAAAGGGCGCCCCTTCAAAACGAAGGTCTTTCACTTGAAGAGGGAAGCATTTTGCGACATTTTTGATACTTCCCGTATGCAACATGGCACGTTTTTTTGCCACTGGATCAGGTCCCCCACTGTACGTATAAGCCGGTAAATTTACATTTCAGATTTCAATTTGACGATCTCAACAAAATCTACCGGCTAGTTCGGTATTTGGCGGAAGAGAACCGATCGTTAAAGCGGAAGAATGAGCGGAAAAAAATGCGAGAAGCGGTAGGAATAACTTTTGCATAAAGCATGAATGTCCCCTACTCTGACGATTCTAAAAAATTTCAGATTGAAAAAGAATGGAGTCGGGTGTTCAGCCGGCTGGATTACATGTTGCTTATCGTTTTCCAAGCTCTGAACGGGATGGCGCTTTTGTTTTTCCTTCAGTTTGCGTGGGCCCCGCCTCCGCCAATCCGAGAGCCGTTGGTGTGAGAGGACCGTTGAGATACTTGTTAATTAGTCGAGTTTCCACTTAGACTTGTAATTTATTATTTTTTTGTAATTAAACCCGGTGAAATCAAGTGGGTATCAGAAAGAAAACGCTGTTGTTTCTTTGTTTTATAATTATAGTTATAAATACCAAATGATTTACGTATTGCTTTGAGCATGTTTCAAAAAATACTACATACAATGGCGGACCTGATCCATTGGCAAAAAACGTATCATTTTGCATCCCTGAAGTATCAAAAATGTGGCAAAATTCTTCCATTTCCAAGTGAAAGACTCCGACTTTAAAAGCCTGCTCTTTTTGTGAGGGAAATGGCGCGCTCTTCAAAACGGAGTTTTTTTTCACTTGGAGAGGGAGCTATTTTCCTTCATTTTCGATACTTCCCGGATGCGAAATGGTACGTTTTTTGTCACTGGATCCGGTCCACTACTGTATTTATTTTTTACTCGGCCGCACTCTCCATTGCTCCTCGTACTGTTTGAAGTAGCTTTTGTCAGCTTCGGTGGCTTCCACCGCCGTCAATGACAGCATCTTCGCGGTTCTGCCGGTGGGCGCGGAATTTAGGATTTTGATTGTGCAGACCGAGGAGATCACACTGTAGATTCCAACAACCGTGTAGATGTACTAAAAATTAAAGTTTTACTAGATCTTTGCATAATACCATTCTGTCGGGAAAATTATGAGGTATGTCAAATCTACATAAAAATCGGAACAACGCCGAGAAAATGAATTTTTTCGTGGCAGAATCAAATTTTTTCACTTCAGCGACGTGCTCATTATTTTTCCGACAAGCTGACAAATAGGCTACTAAAAGTTTACCTGAACCGAAAAATCGTAACAGTCCCTCCAGAAGCCGTCCATCCCCAACAACACACATCTCCAAGTCACCGCGTACGGCGGGACAATAAAGACCAACCCGATTGCATACCCTTTGTTGATGAAGACCATGAGATCAGCGATGACTTCGGTTTGGCGAAGCTCAAATCTTTCGCTTAATGAAGTGCAGTTATGTCGCTCACGACGAGCGAAACGGCGGAGTGTGTAGAATGGCTGAAGGATAAGAACTTATTGAAAAATAGATTTTTTGTCATCCTCTGCGGTTGAAATATTTAGCTATGAAACTTACAAGGGAAGTACCCCAAGTGCGACGCTCAGATTTTGACAAAACTTGGCACAAATTTAGAATAATTTTTTCTAAGATATATGCGAGAATCCTAGCTTGCGCTTTGCAGAAGCAACCGAGATTTTCAGGTCGAAATTTGGCGAAAAGTTGACATATTTTTGCCGAACTTTGGCACGAAAAGTTTCATGCCTATTTCTACCATAGAGAGTAATGTTTCCGCAAAAAAAGCAAATTTTTCCGTACGAAACTAGTAAAGCTATGGCTAAAAAACGTTTTTCTCTCTGACCGCTCTCCGCGTCCAGCGTACTCTCTCGGCGGCAAAGACCGTTCAATATCTCGGCGCCGCTTGCAAAGCGCGAGCTAAAACTTTCAGGAATTGATACTTAGTTAATGTCCGACATGTGTGCAAAATTTAAAGAAAATCTGAGCGTTGCACTTGGAATACTTCTCTTTTTAGTAGCCAAAATTGGCAAAAAATGTCATTTCTTCCAAACCAAAGCACTTTCTCATGTTATAACATTTACCAAAAATTTTGGAGGCATATGAAAAAACTTACAATGCATCCAAACATGCACATTGCATAGCAGCATGAAAGTACCAGCATTAATACCAGCGGGTCTTTGCAGTGAGTCAGACTCAGCTGCAGTTTCTTATCGATGGAGGTGGATTCGTAAAAGGCCAGGTAACCACAAGTCTTCAGCACCGTCTCCAGCACCATTAACGAGAACTGAAATGTTGAAATTCGAAATTGTTGATGATATTTGTCTCTCAGAAGACGCAAAACACTTACAGCAACGGCAAACAAAATGCTAACAAAGTTGTTTTTCGTATTCTCATAGGTTCTTCGGTTTTTGTACGCCACCATCCTCTCAATAACCAAAATTAAAAATTTCGTATGCAAAAACACCTGACAAAGGTAGAGGATGAGGTCGAAAAAGTACATCAAAACGGCGTAGATGTAGCGTTCATTTTGAAGTGGATACTCGTCCGTAAACGTGTAGATTACAAGGGGTCGCAACATGGGTGTAACACTGATGATTAGGTTGAGGTATAACTGAAAAGATGGGGATTTTTGATTTACCGTAACAGATGAAATGTCAAGTCTGTCGGGAAAATAATGAGCAGCCGCAACGCCGATTGCATCGCTCAAGTGAAAAGTAACTTAATTTTGTCCACACAATTTATTTTTCGGAGACGATGCGTTTTTCAACGCGACAGATTGCTCATTATTTTCCCGACAGCCTGATATGAGGAATATCCAAGACTCTTCGCTTGCGCTTTGCAGAAAAACCGGGGGTTTTAGGCCGGATTATGGCAAAAAAAATATTTCTTGTAAGCGTTTGCTAAGACCTACAATTACCGCCGGAAATAAAGTGACATTCAAAGCATTTCGTAACGTACCACGATTTTCTTCACATTTGCATGGAAATGCTGGCTCTTCCAAAACCTCGGGCCGTAATGAAAGTTGTAGACGAAGGCGACCACGCCACAAACAAATTCAACCGCAGCCAGGACGAACATAACATGGCTGAGCCAAATGTCCATCGTAGGGGATCAACATTAATTTTTAGCTCAAAATTCGACTTCCCATTTGTAACGGCTGAAAAATTGGGTAAATATTTTAATTGTCATGCAATTTCCGTGACAAGAATAGGGTCATAACGGCATGGGTGCAAGGTATATAGGAACAAAACAAATGAGAGCAAGAGTTTAACAAATTTGTAGCAATATAGTAGCGGGTAGTGAACATATATACATGCCAAGAGGAAGTAAAAAAAGAACAAGTCAACAACCTGCAAATTTTAAAAGGCAGTGTGACATTACAGCGTTCGTAAAGTCGCTGGTGTAATTCCTGCATTTAGCACTGTGCTGAAGAAGTCATAGTGAGAACAGCCCAAAAGCCTATTGCACAGTGCAAAGTATGCATTTGTTTTCGCACAGTTCATATCGCAAAAATCACTCCAGCGACTTTGCCAACGACTACTAGTGGAATCCTTCGATTGCGACCCCGCTCGATTGCGACCTCGCATCGATTGCGACCCCGCATCGATTGCGACCCAAAATGGGGTAAAGCGACCCCGGGATGAAAATTCTTTGATTCTCTTCGGGAAAAACTTGCTTTAGGGGTTTTCGAGGGTGCTGATTTCGAAAATCATGTTCATTTTTCCTCTAGTACTACATAGTACTGTCTGATACTATACAGTACGTAGTGAAAATATCGCTTTTGACGTTAAATACTCGATTTAGGGGTTTTCGAGGGTGCTGATTTCGAAAATCATGTTCATTTTTCCTCTAGTACTACATAGTACTGTCTGATACTATATAGTACGAAGTGAAAATATCGCTTTAGACGTTAATGGTGTTGGTTTGATGCTTAGTACTCTTCAAAAGCACGTTTTAAAGACTTGGTGCTATATAGTACTGTTTGATACTATATAGTACGAAGTGAAAATATCGCTTTTGACGTTAATGGTGTTGTTTTGATGCTTAGTACTCTTCAAAAACACGTTTTAAAGACTTGGTGCTATATAGTACTGTCTGATACTATATAGTACGAAGTAAAAATAGGCGTACTAAGCTCCAGAACAACACCACGAACACCTAGAGGCCAACTTTACACCTCGTACTACATAGTATCAGATAGTACTATATAGCACCAGGTCTTTAAAACGTGTTTTTGAAGATTACTAAGCATCAAAACAACACCATTAACGTCAAAAGCGATATTTTCACTTCGTACTATATAGTATCAAACAGTACTATATAGCACCAAGTCTTTAAAACGTGTTTTTGAAGAGTACTAAGCATCAAAACAACACCATTAACGTCAAAAGCGATATTTTCACTTCGTACTATATAGTATCAGACAGCACTATGTTGTACTAGAGGAAAAATGAACATCATTTTCGAAATCAGCACCCTCGAAAACCCCTAAAGCAAGTTTTTCCCGAAGAGAATCGAGGAATTTTCATCCCGGGGTCGCTTTACCCCATTTTGGGTCGCAATCGATGCGGGGTCGCAATCGATGCTGGGTCGCAATCGATGCGGGGTCGCAATCGATGGAATTCACTACTAGTCGTTCCAGAAAGCGCGTAGACTTTTTTCCGCTTCTTTCCGCACCGAACAGTGCAAGTTTCGCGTTCCCCGCGCGACGTGCTCCGGTTCGAAACATTTTGCACTGTGGAATTTCTAAAAATTCGCGCCGGTTCCGTTGAGAAAAGCTTGTGTCGCAGCGATAGTGCACTTGCACGGTTCAAAAGGTCGAATGCACCCCGCAAAAACGGAATTTTGTGCACAGTTCGGCCCACGACAAAATGTCAACGCACTTTCTGGAACGACTACAGGGTGTCCAGAGAAATTCCGCGGAAAGTGTTTGCCGATTTCTCGGCGCTTAGGCAAGGTATCCCAAAAATTCTTTTTGCATTAGAAAGAAGACTATGGGCGGTTTTTTGTCTAAAAAAGTTTTTTTGTCCGCCGACGAGGAACATACTGTATTCGGCGGAGACTTTTGGTAGCTTTTTTGGTCATCACACCAATCTTAAGCGCTTTACTATGATCCTGAAACTATCGGGAAGCCTTCAGTTTTTTCCACAGAGGATCAGGGGACCGACGACAACGCTATGCAATCGCATTTAGCGACTGCACCGCACTGTGTAGTTGCGTCAACAGCGATGAAGTCCGACCGCATCGTGCGAAGGTTTGAAACAGCGGGGCAAAGAGAAGTTCAAACAAAAAATATTTTGTTGTTTTCTGGTACACCAAGTCGTTTACTGATGGCTAAGCTGCTGCCAAGGCTTGGCGACGAAATTTTGGAGAGCATATGGGATCAGCAAAGAATGCTAGCCACATAATGTTTGGGGCATCTCCTATCCAAAGCTGAGTTGTGGCCTCCGCCGATACGGAAAGCTCGCCATTCCATTGCCGAACGTTTGGTAAACATAAAAATAAGTTAACATTCTCTTTTTAACCATCAGAAATCATACTGCAGGTTTTAAGATTGGTGTGATGACCAAAAAAGCTACCAAAAGTTTCCGCCGAATACAGTATGCTCCGCGTCGGCGGACAAAAAAACTTTTTAAAAAAAAAACCGCCCATAGTCTTCTTTCTAATGCAAAAAGAATTTTTTGGATATCTTGCCTGAGCGCCGAGAAATCGGCAAAGACTTTCCGCGGAATTTCTCTGGACACCCTGTAGTAGTAAGAGTCCTGGCATTGTTCTGCAAATATTATGCAATGTGATGACGTAGCATGGCTAGAAGGAAGCCCCTTGCTGGGAATCGGGACTGGCCGTTGCCAAAAGCCGCCCGGCCCCAAGTGGCTGAAAACCGCCAAAGAAAGCCGGGCTGACCCACGTGACGATAACTTCAAGTCCACATGAGATTTTAAAATGTCGAACATTTAAAGAGAGATCTAGGAGCCCTCGTAAGTGTCTACAAAAAATTTCTCCTCTTCTTGTAATCGTATCCATCAAAAAACATTCTTGTATAAATTAGATACAAGTAGGCGGTCGTGTCATAAGAAGGGCAAAGATTAAGACAGGCCTTGACAAGTCCCCGAGCCGCTGAAAAAACATTCTGCTCCCTGCAATTCGCAGCTTCAGGGCTTTGTGAGCGGCCTGTAATTCCGACTTAATTAGAGTTCACTAGACACAGTACAAGCGCATAAATTATAGAAATGCCGTTTCATCATCGTAGGCCGTATGACGGCGAAACACGAAAAGGACGAAATAAAGCTGACAAGTACAATTTTAGGCATGTTAATTAGTTTGTTAACATAATCTATCGATTTCTAATTTCCGCCGTAAAAGAAAAAGGTCTGTAACACCCTTGAATATACATATCTGTATATTTAGTAGAGCACATAATCGCTTGTTTTGGCGTTCCCTACAACCGTAAAATTCTAAGCGTCTAATTGTAAAAAGCGTATAATTACAGACGGAATATACAAAAACATGCCACTTGGATTAATGCTAAGGTCGGGCAAATCAGAGGGTACAATCAAAGTTACACCTAAAAGGGATCTGATGAAATGCAGTGTTTTAGCCTTGAATACAGTAAGAAGATAATATGATACTAGCGCGTTCGCAAGGTCGCTGGAGTGATTTTTGGGGTTATAGAGACCGTAAAAAGTTTTATACCGGAACGTGCCACAAATTCAAAGATTTAAGTGTTTTTTGAGTGAAAGATTGCCATGTCTTGTGAGCCTAAAGTTCATTACAAATAAGTAGTTTTCCCAAGCGAAATCTATAAAGACGTAGCTCAAACTTGTTTACTTCTAACTGTACATTCAAAACTCCGAAAATAAGAAGAGAATTTTCTATCGTAACGTTCCTTTCGAACCGGGGAAATAAAATTTTGAGCGCGCTTGGCAACCCGGACGTTCAACCGTCGTTGACAATGAGACAGTAAAGGAACCGAACTCTTTCTTCATACGGGTAACAAACAACAACAGATTGAACCCTTGTCCCGTAATTGCGTTACCTCGCAGCTGCCTTGTGGGAAGTCCACAAGCGTCAAACAGTTCGAAACTCAACGCCCGACGGATCGAAAGTTAATCACCCCACGCTAATTCAGCGAGGTTTTTCGCAGTACAAATGCAAGAGCATAACTCGATAACCATTTGAGAAGAACAGGTGTTTCAAAGTGAAGCGTTGAATCCAAAATGAGTGACAAAATTTTCCATAACTAACACTTATGAAATGAAGAGGGTTTAGAGTTTACCCGACAGCTACAAGCATGCTCAACCACGGAAACATGTGGGCGTTCGCGACAAACCCAAGGGAGGTACAACAAATTCATAGCGTTGGATTTTTTGAACTCCAAGAAATCAAATTGTCGATACAAAATGTAAAAATATTCCTCGGGCCTACAAAGCGATTCCAATTTTGGCAAACACGGCAGACATATTATGGCTGTGGGGCCAAGAACTCATAAGTGCATTTGATATATAATATTCCGAGCTGGTCCGGCTTGTCAACCTGCACCGACAAGAAAACAAATTCAATGCCAAAAAAGGAGCCTGCACTTGTCCGACATAGGTCTTCTACCAGACGAGGCAAAGAGTTTTGACATGTTTGTACGGTGCACGGTTTTGCAAAAAAAATTGTCTTTGTGGTTGCGCAGCCCCACGGGGGAAAGATGGTTTTATAACTTCTATGGTTGAAGACTCCGCGAATTACCTAAGCACCTTTTCAATCTAGGAGCGGAGTACAAGTCTTTCCTGCACGAAAAAAATATAGAATAGAACCGCAAAAAATGGTGACAACATGGTCGTGTCGTTAAGGGACTATAATAAAGACTGTTTACTTGCCATGACCTTTTAGAAATACTGCTGCAGAAAGAACCGGTGTCAGCTCATTTCCGGGCTAGAGAATTTAGGCACTGAAATTGGTCAACAAAGAGCACGCAAGATTAGAAAAAGTCTATGCGTCACGCTTTGCACGTTCTATTGTACTAGTGAACCCTTTCAATCTCATCGCAAATACCTTTGAAATTTGTTGTATATAGGCGAAAGCATACATATTTTCTAATTATCGGGCCATAAATTCCCACAAAGAGTTCGTCATAATACAGTGGGGGACCTGATCCAGTGGCAAAAAAAATACCATTTTGCATCCAGGAAGCGTCGAAAAATGTGGCAAAATACCTCCCTCTACAGGTGAAAAAACACAGATTTCAAAAACGCGTCCGCTCTTTTTGTGAGGAAAACGAGCGCGCCTTTCAAAGCGAAGTTTCTTCACTTGGAGAGGGATGCATTTTGCCACATTTTTGATACTTCCCGGATGAAAAATAATACGTTTTTTGCCACTGGATCAGGTCCCCCACTGTAGAGGTTGTAATAAAAACGTTTATTCTAATCAGTTTTTTACGAGGTATGGTGAATTCAAATAGAGGTTCAATTTCATTCATCTTCTTATGTTCTCGCCCTTCCACTGCTCCGCCAGTTGCGAGAAGTGCCGCTCGGTTTCGTCCTGATGACAAAATATCCCAACTCGGCTTTTGCCGCTCATTGCTTTCATTTTTTGCATCGTGTAGATTGTGGCGCCAACGTTGTAGACTCCAACAATCCAATGGCCATACTGCAAACAATATTTGAGATTACGTGTCTGAATTCCCACACATACCATGATGAGCACTCCATAAATCCTCTGCCATGCCGGGTCGTCGCCCCAGAACACAATCCTCGCAGCCACGATCGTGGTGGGCATCACAGACGCCACGCATAAACAGTAGCCGGTACACAGCGGACGCATTATGGTGGTGATGACCTCTGTTTGCCGGAGTTCGAAGCGTTCGCTGAGCGATTGACTCTTGTGCCGTTGAAACTGCGCGCGACTAAGGAGATTGGCAAAACACTGAAAATTTTGCGAAAATATCCATGAATTTGTGGTCTACGAAAAAATTAAGTGCAGCGAGCAGCATGAAATATTGTAAGAAACAAATTTGCAGGCTCAAAAATCGGCGTACTCACCATATATCCGATAACTCCAGAACTAACAGCCAATACGTAGGTGAACAAGAAATATGACGGCGATCTATCGACCGTAAACGCCTTTGATAGCCACACGTCGACTGTGTCCCCTTTCTCGACAACTTTAAGCACCACTAACTTCGTGGAGATCTCACATATACACAGAAAAGCCTAAAACGCATGAAAATCGGCCACATATTATATATAATAATATAACCTACCGTACCAAGCATGAGTTTCAACACATAGCTGTTCTTCGAGTTCTCGTAGGATTTGCGCTCACGGTAAGCAAACGCTCTTTCCACAATGAGCAAGAAGTACTTGGTGTGCAGGAAAAGAATAGAAACATGGTGTAGAATTTGAGAGGTGTAGAGAACAACCGCTTGACTGTACTTTCCAGAAGTAACCGGAGAGCTCTCACTCTTGCCAAGGAAGACTGTGATGGGGTGCAAAATGGGGCAAAAACAGATGAAAAAGTTGAGGAGGAACTGAAAAAATAATGTGTAAAAAGTCATGGAGGAAAATATCCCCTGCAGAGCGCAAGCTAAAATTTTCGGAAATTTAGATATGGCTAGTTGGTAAGGTTTAATAATAAAATTATCGTATTTTGCTGGCCCAGAGAGTGTTCCTACAGTGGGGGACTTATTCCAGTGGCAAAAAACGTATCATTTTGCATCCGGGAGGTATCAAAAATGTGGCAAAATGCTTCCCTCTCCAAGTGAAAAAACCTCGTTTTGAAGGGCGCGCCTTTTTTTCTTCACAAAGAGAGCGGGCGCGCCTTTGAAATCGGAGTTTCTTCACTTGGAGAGGGAGGTATTTTGCCACATTTTTTATACTTCCTGGATACAAAATAGTACTTTTTTTGCCACTGGATCTGGTCCCCCACGGTGTATAACTGGCCCAGAGAGTCTTCCCCACCAATACTTACAATACATTTCCTCAGATTCTCATGGAAGTGCTGAGCGTTCCAAAACTGCGCCCCGAAAATCACACTGCACACAAAGCTCAGTAGGCCACAGCAAAACTCGCTACACAATAAAAAATTTTCGACAATGTAGTAAATCAGATCCACATCCATGTTCTCATATTGCTGGACACGGACAAACCCGGCTGACAAAATTTGAGTTCAAAAGGAAACGTGAATTTTGCCTTGAAATAATTAGAAATAGAAAATGCCGAGGGCACTATCATGAACGTAGACGTTCGAGAATGACGCTAATAAGCAGGTGACGAACAAGATAATGCAACCTATAATCAACTGCTTCATTAAAGAGGCAAAAAACTTTGTACGTGTGGATCTGAAAGCCTTTGTACTTATATGACCCAATTTTTACATTCACAAGTCAGCTGTAATATTGTTCTGCCAAAGACTACATTTTCAACCGTACCCACAGCGGAACAATGTGAAAATGAAATCGTTTATTGAGGTCTCTGAGATCATATGTAGTAATATTTTGGTCTTGCTGTACGGTCAAACACTAATACCTTTGCCAAAGATGAGATGATGCTATTTTCTCGACTGTGTTGCTGCCCACTGCTCCGCCAGCTGCTTGAAATACCGCTCGGTCTCGTTGTTTGGCGAGCACGCCCCAGTTCGCCGACTGTTCTTTGCACTCATTGCTTTTATCTTTCTCATTGTGTAGACTGTAGCGCCCAGATTGTACACTCCAATCATCCAGTTAGAATACTAAAACAAATATAAATTTTTCTTTTCTAATTTTGCAACTTACCAGTACGATAATTTGATAAAATTTTTGCCACTCCCAGCCACCTCCAAAGACTATGAGCCTGATCGCAGCAATTGGGATGGCAAAACAGGAAGCCACGCAGAGACAGTATCCCGAACATAAAGGCAGCATGATGTTGGTGATGATCTCGGTTTGCCGAAGCTCGAATCGCTCGCTGAGTGTCTGGCTTTTGTGCCGCTGTACTTTGGCGCGACGGAGAAGGCTTTGGAAGCTCTGAAAAGGCCGAGATAATCAACGTTCTTTGCCGCGAAAGATTGGGCGAAACGGTAGCCCTTTTTCCGCTAAAGATTGGGCGAAACTCGGAGAGTAGTCCTTTTGAAAAATTGGAGCTAAGATAGTACAAACCCCCAGTCCAGTTCAGACCCCCACGACCTAGTACAAACCCCCTCATTCAATCTGAAAAGTGTGGGTTTGATCTAAAACGTAGGGGGTTGGATTTACAACATTGGGGGTTTGATATACTAAAAATAATACAGTTAGTATTGAATACGACCTGAATGTGAACACCAACACCATGCAGGGATACTGGGGCTCTAAATTTAAATTACCCGTTTTGGGTAGCTGAACTGGGAAATCCCCGAAAAATTATTTTTTTGTGGAAACATTGCACTCTACGTACGCATGAAACTTTTCATGCCAAAATTAGCAAAAAAAGGCCTATTTTTCCCAACTTTTGGGCTAACAATCTCAATCGTTTCTGTAAAGCGCGAGTTAAAAGTTCCACAAGAATTTTTAGAAAGAGTTAATCTAAACTTGCTCCCAGTATCATGAAAATCTAATTTGTGTCACACTAGGGGTAATTAGTATCAATTATAGTAATAGCTTTATTTAAAAATCAAACTTACCACATAACCCACGAGTCCTGAGCATGCAGACAAAGAATACGTAAAAAGAAAATACGAAGGCGACTTTTCGACAGTGAATGCCTTCGACAACCAAACGTCCACATTATCCTCGCTGCTGATGATCGCGTAAGCCAACAGTTTTGATGATATCTCCAGCAAACATAGCAGAAGCTGCAAGGCATACATTTTACAGACATTTTAGTGGTCTTACGGTAACAACCATCATCTGCAACACGTAGCTGTTCCTTGCGTTCTCATAAACCTTCCGTTGTCGATAGGCCAACGCTCTTTCGACCACAAGGATAAAGAATTTCGTATGCAGAAAAAGCAAGGAGATGTGGTGAAGAATTTGAGCCGTATATAAGATGACTGCATAATCAGTTCTGCCGTTTGTGATGGGACTCTCTTCTTGAGCCAGGTAGAAAGTGATGGGATGCAAAACGGGAGAAAAGCAGATGATAAGGTTGAGAAGGAGCTAAATAAATGTTAATTAATGTTATGGTCGTTTTGGAGTTTGCCTTTTTTTGGCTGAGAGACAAAATATTAAAGACTTTTTTTGCAAAAAAACTTTAAAAAAAGGCGATTATTAATTCATGATTTGGTAGAATGTCTTGACAAGACATGACGAAAAAGGTGACAGTTCGCAAACAAAGACGCAAAAAACTTATCGCCGGAGGAGAAATGGGGAATTTTCAGGCAAAAAAACTTAAAGTGGGGGACCTGATCCAGTGGCAAAAAACGTACCATTTTGCATCCGGGAAGTATCAAAAATGTATCAAAATGCTTCCCTCCCCTAGTTAAAAAACTTCGTTTTGAAGGGCGCGCCATTTTTCATCACAAAAAGAGCGGGAAACCTGAGTTTTTTCACTTGCAGAGGGAGATTTTTTGCCACATTTTTTGATGCTTCCTGAACGCAAAATGGTACGTTTTTGCCACTGGATCAGGTCCCCCACTGTATTGTCGGAGAAGAAATGGGGAATTCTTCAGGCGAGAGAGTACGTTTTCCGCATCTTTTCTCTGTCTTCTCTGTGAAATCAAGACAAAGTGTAAAAAACCGATAGCAAAGTGTCTATTAAAGCAACCGGATTCCTCAGCGCCCCGCTAAAGTCAGCATGTCTTTTCGGTTTGAAGCAAGCACACGTTATTTCCCCTTACTCACCGTGCACTTCCTCAAATTCTCATGAAAATGTTGAGCATTCCAAAACTGCCTCATGAACACAACGTTGAAACAAAAACTAAAAATTCCGCAGCAAAACTCGGACGTTAATAGGAAACTCTCAGCCACGTCGAAAACAACAGCAACATCCATCTTGCCATATCAAAGAAACAAATTCCAGTAGCAAAAATGTTTCTTTAGTAGAACATCAAATTAATTTTGGAGTAATTAGGAGCGCAGTTTCGTGCCCGCTTGTCATGCGACCAAAACGCTTAGAAACGTATTTGATGTGACAATAGAGCTTTATGTAGATTGGCCTCTTAAGAGCAAGATTTGTATTTTAGAAAGGTTTGTAAAATTTTTCTGAGGTTCAAGTTTAATATACTACACAGGCCTTTCTTTATTCGGTATTGTGTATATATTCTTTTTTAGGGGTCACTTTGTTCTGTAGCTACGTTGCTTTTATCCACCCCTGCACGTAAATTTGTGTATCAAACCCATCCAAAAAATGACCAAAGCGTATCTGTGCTTCTCTGAAGGGTGAGAAAAAACAGTTATTGAGTTTTCTGAAGCCCATGAGGTCCGCCGAGCCTGATCCAATCGTCAAACCCCAGTTTTTAAGTATTTCCGCAATGTCGGAAAAATAAGGTTGATTGCAGTAAAATGCCTCGCCTGGCCGCGCACCGAATCTCCACCCGCGGCTGGCCGTCGAAAAGCGTTGATGGGTCATTCCAAGGCCCAACGAACCCGCATTATTTTCCGAAGGGCTGATGGTTCGAAATGTCGTAAAAAGGTTCGTTTTTCTGAGACGAAAAAGGAGCTGTTCGGACTGTAGTCGCGACAAGCAGAACTACTGTGAGGGCTAAGGTAGTACAAACCCCTAATCCAGTTCAGACCACCATGACCCAGTACAAACCCCACATCCAATCAAACTCAGAAACCTTCAATGAAAGCTTGATGAGACGGAATGTTGTAACGGGCTTTGGACAACGGTTTGATCTCAAACGTAAGGGGTTTGATTAAATCGTTTCAGAATTTAAATTTTTCTATACTTTGCATTTTTTGTATTATTCCATTTTTTTAAATTATGGGGGTTTGAAACAGGCAAAACAGTGGAGTTTAGATTACCTTTTGTGTGGGCCCTACCTTGTGCTTGCTAAGGCGTGGGCTTTGCCAAAAAATGTTAGTCTAATTTCGGCTATCACAGTGAAATTTTTCACCATATCTTACTCTTCCATTCAATAAACAAAGTTCGTTTTCAGCAACTGTATGGGCTCAGTTAAGAAGGCTTCTAGGCCGAACCCAGCCGAGCGCTCAATACTTTATATCCTCATTTATTTTGTAGTTTTTCGTGTCTATTTTAAAACAGTATCTTTTCCCGTGGCCCATTCGTTTTGCAATTGCGAGAAATATTTCTCCACACTCTTGTCGACGTCCACTTTGATTGGCACAATTTTGAACATCATTTTCATCTTTCTCAGCGTATACACCGTTGTCGCCAAGCTGTATCCGCCAATCACAGCGTACGAATACTAAAAAAATGGACAAGTTTTCGATGCGAAAAGAATGCTTACCAAGGTCGAAATCTTGTAAATCCTTTTCCACGTCTCATTCACCGGCCAAAACACCACTCGGACGCAAGTGACGATACTCAGCGAGCATGCGATAAGGGCGACAATATAGACCATGTTGAGTGGGAGCATAATATGCGTCACAACTTCGGTTTGTCGCAACTCGAAGCGTTCGCTGAGCGAGCGACTATGATGACGTTGATCAAGTGCGGTGGTTTGAAGCTTGCGGAAGGCCTACAAAAGATTTGAATGACAAGAAATCGTCAGAGCTTGCCACGGCCAAAATTTCGGCTCCGGCTACCGGCTCCCTTGTAAATTTTAAAAAGGCCTCCGGCTCCGGCGACGGCATTAAAAAAAAAATACGTTTTTCTGGACTCTGAGAAGCCTGGCTCCGACTCTGGGCTCGGAGCAGAGATTGCCACGGCTCCGGAGCCGGAGCCGCTCAGAGCCGGAGCCGGAAATTTTGGGGTCGGCTTCGGCTCCCGAGCCCAGAGCCAGGCTTCCCAGCGGTCAGAAAAGTAAAAATTTCGTGATCTTGTTAACCCAAAGTGCTTGAAAAAACACTGCGGAGGATGTCACTTGACTGCAAAAACGTTGGCTGTATGATCTCTGGCACTAATAACTTTTATTTTTGGAAAAATATTTTTAAAAAAACATTTTGCATAGGAGCCGGGATTCGGAGCAAGAGGCCTTTTTAAATTTTGCACGGAGCCAAGAGCCGAGCCGGAGCTGCAAATTTGCCCTCGGCTCCGGCTCTGGGAGCTAAGAGCCGGAGCCGAAATTTTGACCGTGGCAATCTCTGGCTCGGAGCCGGAGCCACTCAGAGCCGGAGCCAAGAGAGAGGAGCCGTGGCAATCTCTCTGCTCATCATAAACTCACCAAATATCCAATAAAGCAGCAGTTGTAGCAAACAAAGAAGGCAATGAGAAAGTAAACCGGTGAATCAGATATGGTCAACGCTTTTGAAACCCTTAGGTCAATACTGTCTTCGCCTTCAAGGACCATGAAGACGTAGAGCTTCCCCAACAACTCGCCAACGGATATAACGAACTAAAGCTCGTTAAAGCCTTTGGCTTCACACTTACCGTGACTCCAAAGATCATGGCGACATAATTATTTCTAATGTTCTCGTAGACTTCCCGCTTCTTATACGCCAGAATCCTTTCGGCAATAAGGATGAAGAATTTGCTGTGCAGGAACAGAAGGCATATATGGTTTATTGTCTGCATCCCGTAGAGAAGAATAGCTTCATTGTAATTCTTATGCAGTAATGGTTCTGCGTCGGTAACTAGCATGGTGAGAGGGTGAAGAATGGGAGAGAAGCAGATAATAAAGTTGAGGAGGAGCTAAAATTGAGCAAGTGAATGAAAAAGTGCTGAACGAAAAATTTATATCAGATTTCCTTGGCAGGGAACCAAAAAAGCCAACATCATTGATACACTCCATTTCAACATGATAGGCACGCCTATAAAATCTGCTATTGCTGTGTGGGGGTTCAGTTGACGGATGCGAAACCTTTACAGATTGATAGAGGAAGTTTGAAAACCTACACCAAAAAATATTTTTTTTTTTGATTGCACTGTAATTGCAATGGAGTGTTTGAAATGGAGTGTATAAACCCATAGACTTTTTGGTTCGACAACATTCGGGTCAACACAAAATTAATCAAAATGAGGCGGAATGGCGGAACAACAAAAAAATTGTAGCGAGGCCTGACAGGACTGTTGGAGGCTTGGTGGCAACTTGGCGAAGACTTGCAACATGACAGATTTTTACAGTTTCACCTCTTGAAATTATAATTATTGTTAGTCATCTTGACTCTGAGCAATTGTAACATAGAAAATACCAAACCTTGCGCCAAAAAAACGAACTTCCCTATGTTTTATCTTGATATTATTGCAGTAATAATACATGCAGGAAACATCAAAATACGTGATAAACTCGCCGCTCGCCTAGGACCTCAAAAATTTTAGCTAACAAAGAAAGTACTCCAAGTGCGACGCTCAGATTTTCTTAAAATTTTGCACACACATCGGGTATGGACTAAATATCAATTCCTGAAAGTTTTAGCTCGCGCTTTGCGGGAGCCGCAGAGATATCGAACGATTTTTGCCGCCGAGACAGCACCGCTAACGTGGAGAGCGGTCAGAGAGAAAAACGCTTTTTGGCCATAACTGGCAGTTTCGTGCAAAAAAAATTCATTTTTTTGTGGAAACATTACCTACTATCGTAGAAATAGGTATGAAACTTTTCGTGCCAAGATTTGGCAAAAAGTGTCAAAAATATCGCCGACTTTCGATTTAAAAATCTCGATTGTTTCTGCAAAGCGCGAGCTAGGATTCTCGCATATATCGTAGAAAAAATTATTCTAAATTTGTGCCAAGTTCCATCAAAATCTAAGCGTAACACTTGTGGCACTTCTCCTGTAAGCGGGACATGACGGCAACCACAAAAGCAAAATACGGCGTGCTTTCTTGCGATGACCGAAATAGGTTGCCAGCTTACTTTTGCAAACTTACCACACATTTCCTGAGATTTTCATGGAACATCTTGCACCTCCAAAATTGAACCCCAAAGACGACATTTAACAGTAAGCTCAAAACTCCACATCCAAACTCGATGCATGGAAATAATACCTCCAGGAACAAATACAAGTTTTCAACCTCCATGTTTAATAATCTACATGCTCCTCGGCGACCATAAGAGCTTAGTTCACATTTCGTTCGGACAATTGTTTGGTCTCGTAATAAATAGTTTAATGATAATACATCTCTTCAAGAAATAACAAGTTCGTGCAGAGTGGGTCATGTCGGTGCAGACATTTTAAACTGCCCTCAATTTCGTATATTTTTTTGCAAGTTTCTATTTCCGCAATTAGCTGCAAAATCGTGGGGAGAGAAATTGTCAGACATACCATATTGATGAAGCTTACAAGGAAAGTACCCCAAGATAGCATAGAGTATTTTTCGACTCCTCAGTTTGGCGTACGAGTCTCAGGCTTTAATGCAACTTTATACAACTTCAGAGTAATTTTTTAAAGCCAAATGCGAAAATCTCAGCTCGCGCTTTGCAGAAACCGATATTTTTAGATGTAACATTAACAAATGTGCTACGCTTTTTGTAGAATTCAGGCTGATTTCGAAAATCTTCTTAATTTTTTCTAATTCCAAAGCAGCACCATCGGAAATCCCCAAGTCGAGCATTCACAAAAAAAACAAAAATTTACTACTTTACGGTACTACTTAAGGAAAAAAGTAATAATCAAGAAAATGAATGTCATTTTCGAAGTCAGCACCCTCGATTATCCTAATTTCGACACTTGCATCGAAGAAAAATAACACTTTTTGGTTTCCCCAGTCGACTTCTTCCCCAATCGTCCCAGTTCCGAATATCTCGGCCGTCCCTGCAAATCTGAAGCCAAGAATTTCAAGAATTCATGGCGTCTTCATGTGTTAGCCAGGGCAGCAAACCTAGTTCGTAATAATCAGATCAAAAACTATTTCCAGACCTCCTCAACTTCACATTCTCCTCCTAGCGCGATTCGTTGAGGAACTTGAAGACCGCTAAAATAAGCAGTCATACCTTTCACAGTACAAATAAAACCGACAGCCAGTGTATTTTATTTAACAGCACCAATTTTCCAATCTGCCTGCAGCCTAGAAAAGTATCTTTCAACATTATCATTCCTCGGGTTCACCCCAAGTTCCACGGGGATTGTCTTGAACATCACTTTCATCTTCTTTAACGTGTATATTGTCGCCACCAGATTGTATGCTCCGATTGCTGCATGTGTGTACTAAAAACGGACCGTAAAAACTGGTTCGTAAAACATACTAAGGCCGAGATTTTATATATCCGCCGCCACGTTTCATCAGCTGGCCAAAGTATGATGCAAATGCATGGGAAAATAGTTGTAGAAGACGCGATGAGAGAAACAATGTAAAGCTTGTTCAGCGGGAGCATAATGTTCGTAACGCCTTCGGTTTGTCTCAACTCGAAGCGTTCGCTGAGTGAACGACTGTGATGACGTTGGCCTGCGGCAGTGGTTTGGAGTCTGCGAAAGCACTGAAAGAGCAGATACAAAGTAGAACATCAGAACCCAAAAAAAACGTTTAAGATGGGTGTGATGACCAAAAAAAGTGCCTAAAAGTCTTCGTCGCATACACTGCTTTCTACGTTGGCGGAGTAAAATCTAGAGTACTATCAAACCCAGAGGCATCGAACTGGCAGCTCGCGTGTTGGTGTAGTACCTTGAATTTGAATAAGAGCAATTTTGAGTGGTCATTTTGCAGTTCCATACAATGCCTTTAGAACTCGAATGACATAATGCTAATGTACAACGTTTACAACGTCTCCTTCAACTCCTTCAACAGTCTTGCGATAACATTTTGTCCCAAAAGGGTCAATAGAAATTATTACGACTTCGCTTAAAATTGGGCGGTGGGCTGTCTTTCAAGGCGTTTCACAAGACGCTAAAGAAGGTAGCGCGGTTAACTCTTCAGGTAGTGGCAGAGCTATTCACTACGAACCATATAGTAGCCCAAACCGACTTCCTTCTTAGAGCATGACGTAAAGTCGTGACCAAATTTATCTTCATGACCTGACTAGTGACTCCCGAAAAGTTAACCGAGTAGTTGCTGCTTTTTTTCAAGACCTTTGCGCCGCTGATAAATCTAAGGCCCTAAAAAGGGATGTCTATTCTTTGCGTTAAAAACCCGTACGGGAGCCAGCGAGCTTAGGCGCGGTATTCTGAAGTTAAGGTCGAGCAGACCCTTCATACTCGATGACAGTATTTTTTAAAATTTTATCCAATTTTTTAAGGACTATGCTCTCGGGAAATTTACCAGAACAGAGTATCACTCCTCCGAATTTGTTTGCATGAGAGATAGAAAAGATTCGGGCAGCGAGCAAAACGAAATCTAGAATATCCACTTACATCGGATGCATGTTTGGCCCGATAGAAATAATGATCGTAAGAACTTGTCAAACAGTCCAAATAGACTTTGCTTTCTTAAGTGTTGTGAAGTATTAGGTTGAGTCAAAATTATCCGGCGGTTTTATTGGCGCGTTTTTTGTAAGTTAAAATTTATGTTTTGTTAATGTTTTTTTTACAAAAATAATCTTCTCTGGTTGGTTAATAAAATGGCAGTTGAAACCCATACTCATATTTGCCACATTATGCTCTACCACTTCGAGAAAAGTTGGAAGTCAGCACGGTCATTCCGCGATCTCAACGAACTTTTCGGCGAAGGAACAAAAAATAGACACGATTTCCCAGTGGATGATTCCGCTTCTGTTCCACCACACATACCACGTAGCCTTCTTACAGTGGACGTCTTTTGGTACTCCTTTGGACGAAACACCTGCCGATTTTTTTCCTTCGCCGAAAAGTTCGTTGAGATCGCGAAATGACAGTGCCGACTTCCAACTTTTCTCGAAGTGGTAGAGCATAATGTGGCAAATATGAGTATGGGTTTCGACTGCCATTTTATTAACCAACCAGAGAAGATTATTTTTATAAAAAAAACATTAACAAAACATAAATTTTAACTTGCAAAAAACGCGCCAATAAAACCGCCGGATAATTTTGACTCAACCTAATACTTATGTTCCTCTCTGTGTCGGATATCACACCCATTTGGCTGCGTACTATCTAAGGTATAAAAACTTCAGTATAACAGAACATCTAGAAACCGGCTTCATGAAATCTTCTAAGCCTAAGTTCCCTGGTTTCTCTGTTGGTGGTGCCACTGCACATTCAGATGATAAGGCTTGTATTGTTGTTACTTATAGTGGGTATTATAGTTGTTGACTGTCAAGCCTTTAAAGGTTGTGGCAAAAAGAAAAGCAGTCAAAAATTTCAATAACTTAGTTGCCAACCTAATACATATAAGCACGACAATTAAAAGTGAAGTCTTGATTCTGAGCCCGATGACGTCCTGAGGCACAAGATGTTCTTCCAAGCTTCTTCGGTACTCACAAATCGAGACTTCACTTTTAATTGTCGGGCACTATGCATAAGTGAAATAAGCAAAAAGTTCAAAGAGTCAAATCGCACTTTTTGTGTCACCATACACCCTCTGAGCACCCTCCTAAATGAATGATGGTCGACGATCGCTTCAAAATTTGGTCTTCAGACAGACTCTTGACAATCCAAGACTTACAAAGTACCCGACGAGACCGCAATTGTAACAAAACAAGCAAGAGAGCAGAAGTTAAATCGGTCATTCCAAACCATAACTTACGAAATACCCGACGAAACCGCAATTGTAACACACGAAGAAAGTGACGAGAAAATAAGTCGGTGATTTTGAAATGGTCAGCGCTTTCAGTATCCTAATGTCAATTGTTTCCTCTGTGTCCAATCCAAGGAATATGTAGAGTTTCAACGACAGCTCGATGAAACATAGGGCGAACTGAAAGGCAAAAGCATGCAATTGAAGAGAATATGTACATTATGTATATTTTTTTTATTATTCTTACCGCAACCGAGAAGATTTGAGCCACAAAATTGTTCCTGGTGTGCTCATAGACATCTCTTTTGCGGTAGGCCAAGATTCGTTCAGCAATCAGAATAAAGAATTTGAAGTGAAGAAAGATCAGGCACATATGGTTTACTGTATGAATTCCGTAGATCAAAATGGCTTCCTTGTAATTGCTGTGGAGTAATGGCGCATCGTCAGTTGCTAAGTAGACGGTGAGAGGATGAAGAATGGGAGAAAAACAGATTATAAAATTAAGAAGGAGCTGGAATGGGAATGTGATGCAAAAATATGACTTTTAATTATAATTTTTTTATAATTTTTTGCCAAAAATGTCAGCTACACTTTTTTGGGATCTTTCTGCCAATAACACCGTCAACTCACCACAGATTTCCTCAAATTTTCGTGAAACATTTTGAACCTCCAAAATTGGATACCAAAGACAATATTGAAGAAGAAACTCAGAACTCCACAGACAAACTCGATAATTAAAAACAAATGCTCCAAAAACCAAGAGACGTGTTCAAAAACCATTGCAAGAAAATGCTTGTGTGAAGATGACATAAACTAATATCTATAGCAGATGATAGAAAACGCCTTAAAATAAATCCAAGTGTAGTTCTCGAATTTCTTTTCAATTGCCTGCGACCAAGAAATTGTCTCTTTCATTAAAAGACTACAAAGTTTTTTTCAATACATCTTACATACAATAAAAGTACTTTTATGGGGCTCCTACTTTTCGACGGGACATACCTCATATAATCCGAGAAATTGTGCTACAGTGAGGGACCGGATCCAGTGGCAAAAAACGTCCCACTTTGCATCCCGGAAGGGACCAAAACGTCTCCAAACCCTTCCCTTCTCTAAGTTAAAAAACTCCGTTTTGAAAAGCGCGCCCTTTCCTTCAAGGCGGGCTTTTCAAAGCGGAGTTTTTCAGCTTACAAGGGATCGGCAAATAGTTGCAACCTTTAATTTTAACGAAACATACATCATTTGAAAGAGCGTGAAAAGTTGTGTATAAGGAAGAAAAAATCAGCTGCCTAATTTATGTTTGGACAAAGTTATGGCCAAAAATACACATTTTATTAGGCTAATTTCATGCGCCACTTTTTAAGCTCTTGGAACCGCAACGGAGTTGTGTCCAGTTGGCCGAGTGATAGTGACGCCACTTCCGACGCAACAAGACCTGGTTTCGAACCTGGGCTCAGCACATTGTTTGCATTTCGTATCTCATATGCCACCATGGTGTGTAAATGTTTTTAAACAATTTGTGTTCTTTCGCAGACAAAATTCGTTTTTACGGGATTTTTCTGAAATTCTGGGTTTTTTTGAAACGACCACTAATTTTATGGTGATGAGAGTGGGGATGCCACTATCATATATGTAATTACAAGGGTGTCATCCCAGTAGCCTGACCTATTATAACTACTGGACGAGAATTAAATTTACAAGGACCTGTAAATATACATTTTTTCGAAAGAATACGAGGAGAAAATTGTATAGTCGGGCAAAAGACTATAGCTGACGCAATGGACCAGCCGTTGGTAGGGCTAGGACATAAGAAATTTTTAATTTTGAGATTTTATTTTGTGAACGACCATGACGATCATAATATGATCATAATAATAACATAAATTAAATCGTCAAATCTCGCCTATTCAAAAGCTTGGTGGTGGTGGTGGGGATCCACTGAATCCTGGAGGAGGAGAGGGAGGGGATCCAGAAGGAGGTGGCCCAGGAGGTCCACGGTGTTCAACACTTCTTACTGCCCGTTGAACAAATGGTGGTGGAGGTGGTGGTGGGGATCCACTGAATCCTGGAGGAGGAGAGGGAGGGGATCCAGAAGGAGGAGGTGGTGGTTGGTGACCGTTCACGCTTCTTGGCTTACGATGTTCATGATGAGGTGGTGGTGGGGATCCACTGAATCCTGGAGGAGGAGAAGGAGGGGATCCAGAGGGAGGGGGCCCACGGTTTTCAACACTTCTGACTGCCCGGTGGCCAAATGGTGGAGGTGGTGGTGGTGGGGATCCACTGAATCCTGGAGGAGGAGAGGGAGGGGATCCAGAAGGAGGTGGCCCAGGAGGTCCACGGTGTTCAACACTTCTTACTGCCCGTTGAACAAATGGTGGTGGAGGTGGTGGTGGAGATCCACTGAAGCCTGGAGGAGGAGAAGGAGGGGATCCAGAAGGAGGTGGCCCAGGAGGTCCTTGGTGTTCAACACTTCTTACTGCCCGTTGAACAAATGGTGGTGGAGGTGGTGGTGGTGACCCACTGAATCCTGGAGGAGGAGAAGGAGGGGAGCCAGAAGGCGGAGGTGGTGGGGGTGGATGACCGTTTACGCTTCTTTGCTTTCGATGCCCATGATGAGGCGGCGGCGAGCCAGTAAAGCCTGGGGGAGGAGAAGGAGGGGATCCAGAAGGAGGAGGCCCATGATGATGTCCTTCCGCAACTGCAAAATGTCAGATGTCAAAAACCTAAGGTCTCCAAAAACACTTACAACACAACACCGACAGAAGGCAGAGTCCAACGACGGAGGTCGATCTCATTGTAGTTGATTGGTGGCAATACTCACCGCGGCGTTTTATATACCATTCCTATTGTTGAGACATACCTCTTTCATCAAATTAAAACTGTTAGCTTAGCTTGGTTTCAAGAAAATCGTAGTCAAAAACACTGGCCTATGAACTGTCTGTTTGATCAGCATTGAGTAAAAAATTGATTCACGTGAACCACGGGAAACGCCTCTGCTCCAATACGGGTAATGATCACAAAGCAGAGCTTTGTCTATTTTTGCTAGGCTTCAATAAATGTGAGCTGTACTGAGAATGTCTTATCAGCGTCCAGGTTATGAGTGGGTTGCATTAAAAACATGAAATTTCGATTTATTCTACAGGGTCTTTCAAGAAACGTGAAGGAAAGTAGGAGGCTATAACTTTCGGCGGAGGCGGTGCGGAGACTTGGTTTTTGGAATATGTATTTTTAAGCGACATTATTTTTTGCCTACGAAATAAATAACAAGACTTTTTAGTGCAAAGTTATGGTTGAGGGGCCGCTGCAATAAGCTGGCATACGTTTTATAAAACAAATACAATCGACAGCCGTAGAGTATTTATTTAACAGCACCAATTTTCCAATCCGTCTGCAGCCTAGAAAAGTATCTTTCAACATTATCATTCCTCGGGTTCACCCCAATTTCTACTGGAATTGTTTTGAACATCACTTTCATCTTCTTTAGCGTGTATATTGTTGCCACCAGATTGTATGCCCCAATAGCTGCGTACGTGTACTAAAAACGGGCGGTAAAAATGGTTCTTAAAACATACCAAAGTTGAGGTTTTATATATTCGCTGCCATGTCTCGTCAGCTGGCCAAAATATGACACGAATGCACGGGAAAAGTGCCGGAGAAGACGCGATTAGAGATACAATGTAAAGCTTGTTCAGCGAGAGCATTATGTTCGTAACGACTTCAGTTTGTCTCAACTCGAAGCGTTCGCTGAGCGAACGACTGTGATGACGTTGGCCTACAGCCGTGATTTGGAGCCTGCGAAAGCACTGAAATGGCAGATACAAGGATGAAGAATTGCGGGAAAATCAGGCTACAATATTTTTATGCGACGTTCGTCATTTAGCTCGTACTTCAGAAACCAATACGTCACCTGTCGTCTAAAAAAAACGAGCCATCTAAGGACAATCGCACAATAGGCAATATTTTTTGGCAATTTATTCTCTATTACGGCAAATTGAAGTTGTTATAGTAAAAAAATTGTAGTATGAAAGTTGAAATAATCGTTAAGGGGCATTTTTTGTCTTTGTACAAGTCTAAGTGGGTTTATTTTTATAGTTTTTAAGTTTTTTTGGAGTTCTTAACGTTGATACAAACTTTTGCTTAGAATGCACTTCCGATTTTTTGACGGTCGAAAAAATCGCGATCGCTTCGACAGGGAAGTTTGAAACACTCTGGGCCTTCGATGTTGGTGGAGAAAATGATTTTCATAGCCAAAAAACCGCCCTTCTTTCTCTTGCAAAAAAATTTTTTGGATATCTTGACTGAGCGCCAAGAAATCGACAAAAACTTTCCGCGGAATTTCGTGAAACACCCTGTAGAATAAATTCCTGAAAAGTTCAATAAAAAATCGCACTCTTAATGTCACCATAAACTCTCTGAGCACGCTCAAAAAATGAATGATGGTCGACGATCGCTTCAAACTTTGGCCTTGGTAAAGGCTCTTGACAGTTCAGGACTTACAAAGTACCCGACGAGACCGCAATTGTAACAAAACAAGCAAGAGACGAGAAGGTAGATCGGTGATCCTGAAATAGTCAGCACCTTCAGTAAGCTAATGTCAATTCTCTCCTCTGTGTCCAATACAAGGAATGTGTAGAGTTTCAACGACAATTCAATGAGGCATAGGGCGAACTGAAAGGCAGAAAGCATGCAATTGAAGAGAATATGTATAACATGTATATTTTTTTATTATACTTACCGCAGCCGAAAATATTTGAGGCACGTAATTGTTCCTGGTGTGCTCATAGACATCTCTTTTACGGTAGGCCAAGATTCGCTCAGCAATAAGAATAAAGAATTTTAAGTGGAGAAAAATAAGGCACATATGGCCTACTGCATCCATTCCGTAAATTAAAATAGCTTCTGTGTAATTGCTATGGAGTAATGGCGCATCATCACTTGCCAGGTAGACGGTAAGAGGATGAAGAATGGGAGAAAAACAGATGATAAAGTTAAGAAGGAGCTGAAATAAGTTTTACGAGGCAGAAATATAATATGAATTCAATATATGCCAATAATGTCAGCTCTATTTTTTTGGGATGTTTCTGCCACTAAAACACCTTCGACTCACCACAGATTTCCTCAAATTCTCGTGGAACATTCTGAATCTCCAAAACTGGACACCAAAGACGATATTGAAGAAGAAACTCAAAACCCCACAGCCAAACTCGGTAACCAGAAACAAATGCTCCAACCAAAAACATAATTCTTCAAGCATAATCGCATAAAAATATCTTTTTTTTCAGCTAGCAGATACTCATTTAGACTAGGAGTTTAATACAGGTAATTTTGATATTTATTTCCAATTGCTTATGCACGAAAAAGCCCGTTTTTCAGGGAAAGGCTACAATTTTTTCAACATATCTTGAGAAGCTGTGGGTATCAAGTTTTTAAACCCACTACGAGATTTGGGCGCTATTGTTTCAAATTGTCGCTTCCTTGTGCCGTGACATTCGCCTTTTTAACATTGTAAAGCAATGCAAGATTTTTTATCTCATCTCACTCTTTGCGAATGGCGGATTCATCATCGCGATTATGAAGTGGTCCGGTACACACGGTCTATATCAGCCTGTCGGGAAAATAATGAGCGCAATGCTGCACCAAAAATACCATAGCCACCGAAAACATGCAGCAAAATTAAGTTGCTTTTCACTGCAGTGCATCTTCCGCGAATCGCGCAATAACGAGATGGGCGGAGGCAATAGCGCGATTGGCGGAGCAACATTGGGCTCATTATGTTCCCGAAAGACTGATAACACGGTAGAGAAAGTCCTGGGAATTTTCAACAATGCCGATTTGGCCCCTCGCACGTCAAACTGAGGTAAGCTAACGATAAGACAGCCCGTTGAATGGACCGGCAATTTGTAAAGAAAAAACGCGATAAAACGTTTTGTCGAGAAAGAAATGGGGAGTTTTTGGGGCGAGAGAGTACGTTTTTTCTCTGTCTTCTCTGTGAAATCAAAACGAATTGTGAAAAACTGATAGCGAAGGGTCTTTTCCGGTCACAAACTTTCAAGACTTCTGGTGCTGAGCATATTGAAAAAAATGCATCTCTTTTGTCTGTGCAACCGAATCCAATAGTTTAACACGCATTAAGTTAATGATTGTTTTTCGTCACGGTAGACCATTGATTCTCGAGTTGAGCAAAGTATTTATCAGTCTCATCGTTTGCCGTCAGCGGACGAATCTTCTTCGGACCTGGCCGTTTCATAGCTCTCATGCTGCGAAATGTGTAGACCGTTGCGACCAGGTTATACATCCCGACGCACGCATAACAATACTACAAATTACCAGTTCAATTACGTTAAAAGCCCTTACCAGCACGGACACCTCGTATATCCTCCACCATTCCGCGTCCGCTGCGCCGAACGTAAGTTTCGCGCAGAGGCAAGCCGGAACAAGCTGAGCAAAGAGTGTGGCCATGTAGCAAAAGTTTAGGGGAAGCATTACTTTTGTGACCATCTCGGTCTGGCGCAATTCGAAGCGTTCGCTGAGGGAAAAACTGTTATGTCGTTGGGTGTTTGCGTTGCGTTTTAGACGCCGGAGGCACTAAAAAGATTTGGCATGAAAAGTTTCATATCTGTTTCTATCGTATAGAGTTTCTAAAAAAATAATTTTGTTCGGCACCAAACTAGTGAAGTTATGGCCAAAAAGTGTTTTTTTGGAACAATTCCCAAGGTCAAATTCAAGCCGGATGTTACAGTGTGATTTTGCAAATAAGGGCCTTTGCATCAAAAGCTTATAGCCAAAAAAGTTTTTTTTGGATGATTTTTCCTACGTTCAATGCCCATAACTTACAACATAGCCGACATATGCACACACATGCGCCAACACAAAGCTAAACAAAAAATAGGCGGGTGAACCAGCGACTGTTAAGGCTTTATATAATCGCATATCTATCACATCTTCGGTGTCAAACTCAAGATACAATGCAAGCTTTACACACATTTCCAACAAACAAGCGACCAGCTAAAAAGGGTGGGGATAATATTCAAAATTTGTCCTTATTTTATACATGTCTTATACAAAGAATTTGGAACAAAATGTAAGCAAACAAGTCTCAGAAAACGGCAGAAAACCTTCGCAAAACCAACCGCAACTCCAAAGATTTTATAGACATATCGGTTCCTGCTGTTCTCATAAACCCGCCGATTCCGATAAGCCAGCACCCGTTCAGCAAGTAGAATAAAAAATTTTGTGTGCAAAAATAGTAACGATAAATGGTTGAAGAAATGAATTGTGTATACAATTGCTGCTTCTCTGTAGTTTCCATGGAGGAGTGGAGTATTGTCGTTGGAAGTATATATTGCAAGTGGATGCAAAATTGGAGAGAAGCTGATGACGAAATTGAGGAGGAGCTGCAAGCAATTTTCATAAAAGCATGGTAAGAAATGTCATTAAATCGGCACGTTTTTAAAAATTCCATCGCGGCCCAAACCTTAGAGATGTCGGAGTGAATTGACGAGACCTATACCATCCGAAACATTGCAGAATGAAATTTCAAACCCGAAAGTTTCGCCTGTTTTGCAATCAAACTACGCCCGTACCAGGCCAAACACATTTATACATATTACACTAGGCACCAATAAAAAATAAAGTGAATTAGAGATGTCGGAGTGAATTGACGGGACCTATACCATCCGAAACATTACAGAATGAAATTTCAAACCCGAAAGTTTCGCCTGTTTTGCAATCAAACTACGCCCGTACCAGGCCAAACACATTTATATTATACAAGGCACCAATAAAAAATAAAGTGAATTAGAGATGTCGGAGTGAATTGACGGGACCTATACCATCCGAAACATTACAGAATGAAATTTCAAACCCGAAAGTTTCGCCTGTTTTGGAGCCAAATTACGCCCGTACCAGGCCAAACACTTTTATATTACACTAGGCACCAATAAAAAATAAAGTGAATTAGAGATGTCGGAGTGAATTGACGGGACCTATACCATCCGAAACATTACAGAATGAAATTTCAAACCCGAAAGTTTCGCCTGTTTTGGAGCCAAATTACGCCCGTACCAGGCCAAACACTTTTATATTACACTAGGCACCAATAAAAAATAAAGTGAATTAGAGATGTCGGAGTGAATTGACGGGACCTATACCATCCGAAACATTACAGAATGAAATTTCAAAACCGAAAGTTTCGCCTGTTTTGCAGTCAAACTACGCCCGTACCAGGCCAAACACTTTTATATTACACTAGGCACCAATAAAAAATAAAGTGAATTAGAGATGTCGGAGTGAATTGACGGGACCTATACCATCCGAAACATTACAGAATGAAATTTCAAACCCGAAAGTTTCGCCTGTTTTGCAGTCAAACTACGCCCGTACCAGGCCAAACACTTTTATATTACACTAGGCACCAATAAAAAATAAAGTGAATTAGAGATGTCGGAGTGAATTGACGGGACCTATACCATCCGAAACATTACAGAATGAAATTTCAAACCCGAAAGTTTCGCCTGTTTTGCAGTCAAACTACGCCCGTACCAGGCCAAACACTTTTATATTATACTAGGCACCAATAAAACATAAAGTGAATTAGAGATGTCGGAGTGAATTGACGGGACCTGTACCATCCGAAACACTACAGAATGAAATTTCAAACCCGAAAGTTTTGCCTGTTTTGCAGTCAAACTACGCCCGTACCAGGCCAAACACTTTTATATTATACTAGGCACCAACAAAACATAAAGTGAATTAGAGATGTCGGAGTGAATTGACGGGACCTGTACCATCCGAAACACTACAGAATGAAATTTCAAACCCGAAAGTTTTGCCTGTTTTGCAGTCAAACTACGCCCGTACCAGGCCAAACACATTTATATTACACTAGGCACCAATAAAAAATAAAGTGAATTAGAGATGTCGGAGTGAATTGACGGGACCTATACCATCCGAAACATTACAGAATGAAATTTCAAACCCGAAAGTTTCGCCTGTTTTGCAATCAAACTACGCCCGCACCAGGCCAAACACATTTATATTATACAAGGCACCAATAAAAAATAAAGTGAATTAGAGCTGTCGGAGTGAATTGACGGGACCTATACCATCCGAAACATTACAGAATGAAATTTCAAACCCGAAAGTTTCGCCTGTTTTGGAGCCAAATTACGCCCGTACCAGGCCAAACACTTTTATATTACACTAGGCACCAATAAAAAATAAAGTGAATTAGAGATGTCGGAGTGAATTGACGGGACCTATACCATCCGAAACATTACAGAATGAAATTTCAAAACCGAAAGTTTCGCCTGTTTTGCAGTCAAACTACGCCCGTACCAGGCCAAACACATTTATATTACACTAGGCACCAATAAAAAATAAAGTGAATTAGAGATGTCGGAGTGAATTGACGGGACCTATACCATCCGAAACATTACAGAATGAAATTTCAAACCCGAAAGTTTCGCCTGTTTTGCAATCAAACTACGCCCGCACCAGGCCAAACACATTTATATTATACAAGGCACCAATAAAAAATAAAGTGAATTAGAGATGTCGGAGTGAATTGACGGGACCTATACCATCCGAAACATTACAGAATGAAATTTCAAACCCGAAAGTTTCGCCTGTTTTGCAGTCAAACTACGCCCGTACCAGGCCAAACACTTTTATATTATACTAGGCACCAATAAAAAATAAAGTGAATTAGAGATGTCGGAGTGAATTGACGGGACCTGTACCATCCGAAACATTACAGAATGAAATTTCAAACCCGAAAGTTTCGCCTGTTTTGCGGTCAAACTACGCCCGTACCAGGCCAAACACATTTATATTATACTAGACACCAGTAAAAAATAAAGTGAATTAGAGATGTCGGAGTGAATTGACGGGACCTGTACCATCCGAAACATTACAGAATGAAATTTCAAACCCGAAAGTTTCGCCTGTTTTGCGGTCAAACTACGCCCGTACCAGGCCAAACACATTTATATTATACTAGACACCAGTAAAAAATAAAGTGAATTAGAGATGTCGGAGTGAATTGACGGGACCTATACCATCCGAAACATTACAGAGTGAAATTTCGAATTCGAAAGTTTCGCCTGTTTTGCAATCAAACTACGCCCGTACCAGGCCAAACACTTTTATATTATACTAGACACCAGTAAAAAATAAAGTGAATTAGAGATGTCGGAGTGAATTGACGGGACCTATACCGTCCGAAAGATTACAGAATGAAATTTCGAATTCGAAAGTTTCGCCTGTTTTGCAATCAAACTACGCCCGTACCAGGCCAAACACTTTTATATTATACTAGACACCAGTAAAAAATAAAGTGAATTAGAGATGTCGGAGTGAATTGACGGGACCTATACCATCCGAAACATTACAGAATGAAATTTCAAACCCGAAAGTTTCGCCTGTTTTGCAGTCAAACTACGCCCGTACCAGGCCAAACACATTTATATTATACTAGGCACCAATACAAAATAAAGTGAATTAGAGATGTCGGGGTGAAAAAGGCCAATGCCATTGAAAAGAGCACCGACTGCTTACACTTTTTTCTTTTCTCTGTCTAAAGCGTCCATCTTAACCTCTTTGGAAACACTTACAATACTTTTCCTGAGGTTCTCATGGAACTGTCTAAACTTCCAAAATCTGACTCCATACACAACATTAAAGAAGAAACTGAAAATTCCACAAGTAAATTCAATCAAGGGTAGAAGTTGTCGCAGGAATTTGTAGGTTTCTTCAGCTTCCATTCCAATTGCAACTTTTAGAATATCGCCAAAAAAATCCACTCAACGTATTTGTTTCCTAAAATCTCCGCTAGTGATGACGCGTCTTACAAAAAATGTAGCTCATCGAATAAATAATGCCTTTTTGGCCACAATGATTGGAAAGTTGACGTAGAATAAAAACTTTACGTCGAGAAACGAGGAAAAGTGTGTTGTAGTGATGCAGGCGATGGCCAAATTGCTCGTGTAATAATAGATGTAAAAAGGAGATGAGTAAAGAAGGTTAAATTGGGAAATTAAGGTCATCAATAAAAGTCTTGTAATTACAGAGGGACATCTTTAGGCATTTGACGATGAGGTGAAGAGTGCACAAGTTTTTGCAAACTTTTGATAAAGAAACAAAAAAGAGCTGACGTGCTGAAATTGATTGGTAACTAGCGTTAACGCTTATAGTCGCACTAAACTCTACTTCCTTTCGAAAAAGATCATAAATGACGCCCTACACCTATGATATTTTTATTACGTATTGCTCGGCATGAACAACAAATGTACAGGGTCATTCAAGACACGTGAAGGGAAGTAGGAGGCTATAACTTTCGGCGGAGGCGGCGAACGTCAAAAAAATTGATGCATTTTCTGAACATGGTTCGCGCTAGGCTAAAAATAATGCAAATTTCAAGGCCGAATATCAAAAGACTGTCCCATCAAGCGGGTCGAGACCGTTGTAGATGCTCGAAGAACAGTTTAAGGATTTTTTTGACGTAGAGCCTATACCTCCATGCAGCGCTCTTTGACTCCGGTATTAAGGCTTTTTCATGCCTAATCTCGCTTATACGCGCGGGGTATTACTAGGACATTGTACATGCTCATTATTGGTCAATTTACTACCTGAAATTTTGATGACTTTAATCAACCAGAGACAACAAGGCTCCGCAAAACTTCAAACTTCAGGTCAAGCTCGCAAACTTCAAATTCAACAATCTCTTGCTTGAAGTGCATGGTAAAGTTAAGCAAATTGTTGCCATGAAATGTAATCCTTTACACGATAAATAACTGTAAACCATCAGTGTTTTTTTACTTTTATTTTTTTCGAAAAAGCATTTTCAAGAACCTCTATTTACATATACGTAGCCGGAGCTATTGCCGTCGAGTTTTGAGCAGTCTATTGAAAGGAGTGATCGATACAACGGTGGTATGCTGTTCGCGGACACCCCGTAAAGTCCAGCGAGGATTGGGATGTTCTCTTCGCAGTAGTTGTGGAACTGTAAAAATTCAAAAGTTATGCCTTTTTTCTATTGAAAATGGAGGTAGAAAACAAACACTTTTGGCCGTATCTTTGTCAGTTTTGTAAGGAAAGAATTGGTCTTTTATGGAAGCATTACCATCTACAATAGAAACAGGCATGAAACTTTTCTTGACCATATTTGAAAGTGGCAAATTTTTTTCAACCTTTGATCTTACAGTGTAAAAATCTCGGTCGTTTCTATACAAAGCACCCCCAATATCTTGTGTATAAAAGTTCGAAAAGAACTTACCCAATACTCGGGGTAGAACGTCTCCACGTCCACGATGGAGACATTGGCGCGTTCGCGGAGAATGCCGGTAAAGAAGACGTCTTCCAAAAAGATGTCTTCAGATGTGTGTGTCACATTCAGAATGGCTTGTACGGCCGGCGTTGTCAGAATGTAAATTGCACCATTTGTGTATTTCGGATACTTTTCTTTGTCGTATTTGGATGTGGGCAAATACCTAAAACAAAATTTTGAATGGAGAAGTTCAGGAGTGAAAATTGCAAGGAAAACTTTGGAAATAATAGCGTTGGTAAATGGCGAAGCATATAAGTGTAACTTGAGGTTACGAAAGGCCAGAAAAACTGTAATTTTTTGACGGGTTTTAGACAGTTGCGTATCCATGTTTACAGACACAAACATTATGGCTTTCTGTGAGACAATTGAAGGGTATAATTATACCAGGAGAACAATAGTTTTCAGACAAAAAAGGCAATTGAAAAAGGATTAGGAAGTGGCTCAAAAGCGTCGCACGAAACTTTTAAAAATTAGACTACCGGAAAATAATGATGATTCATTTTCTCGACGGCGGTATACATGGAAAAGGTTCGAAATGCATTGTGCGAAAGTGGTAAAATGTCAATGTACTTTTTGAGAATACCCATAGATAACATACGGACATATCTATCATAGGTCAAAGTCGTAACATACGTACATACGTGGCCAATTTTGCCCCAAAAAAGGGAAGTGCGATCTTGCTAAACACGCATATAAATTTTTGAAGGAATCACTTTGTCATTCCATAAGTTTTAAAAAGCAAAAAACGCACTGTTTCATTTCTAACTCGGAATGCGCTTTGTTTGCTTTTATGCAAAAACACACAATTTGAATCACAAGACAGAGAACGTTCTTTTTGAGTGAGAAGAAGAGCAGAACAGTGCAGATTTGAGACCAAAGATGTATGATAAAAACTTTGTCACTACTAAATACAAAGCATCAAACCCCTACCATTTATCATCCTTATTCCGGATGACCGTCGAATTGCTCAGAACTTTGCCCCAAACCATCTTCGGGTCCACTTTGGCATCAGCGGAAAACCATTCGTCCAACTGTTTGCTCATTCGTTTCAAATCGATGACGGTGTCGTCATCGGCTTTGATCAAATATTGGGCCGACGGACAGAACCGTTGTTGCCATTGCATGAGGACGCCAGTCTTCAAGAACAAATTGTGATACGTATCGGGCAAATCGTAGATGACCAAGTCGTTGAATTCGTCCTGCTCCTCCTTCAGCATTCGCTGGAATTTGCGGAGACGAGCGGGCGACTCGTGTTGTGGGAGGCCGATTACGAACTTGTAATAGAAGCCCGGAGGGATGTTCTAGAAAGTTGAAAAAGTTAGGACAAAACATTTTTGAGGATGAAAAGATTAAAGTAGACTTATACTCCATTTTCGAAAAATCTGCATAACTCGCCTAAGGACAGAGACATGAAAAACAATTTTATGGGGCACATTCTACCTGTCATGACTAGTACACATGCCAATTTTCAAGGTGATTGCGTTATATTCGCTTGAGATATGGGTGGTCAGAAATTTATGTCCGGCAGTATAGTTTTCATACAACAACTTGCTTTTAGAGACACTTTTTTATCGCTTTCTTGCACCACAGATCCCTCTCCCCAACAACTTCAATAAAACCCTTGAACCAACCTCTTTTTTCAGCCAAGTATCTCGCATCGCCAGCCGCGCATCCAGCCCGCCAAACGAGGCTCTAGAAGGAATCAACACAACTACTTTGGCATCGTCGCAATAACCCGCGGGCGGCGAATTCACAGCATAGTCGAAGCGGTTGCTCTTGAATTGTAATCGAAAGTGCGCGTCCGTCCGCCACACCCTCAGGCGTTGCTGTGGGACCACGTAGAAGATCAGATAAACCACTGAAATTTTGCAACAGTATACTTTGAAAAAGCGATCATTTCCTCGCAAGAGGAGAATATCAGTTTGTCGGGAAAATAATGAGAACACTGTCGCTGAAGTGGAAAGAAATTTGATTTTCTCCGCGACACAATCCATTCTATTATACGATGCGATTTTCGATACGTCAGATTGCACATTATTTTCCCGACAAACTGAGAACGATTGCAATTTTTTGTTGGTGGTGTGGGTTCGTTGGGGTTAAAATTTTTTGTTTCTATTTTCAAAGCTTCATAAATAAAGCCTATTCAAACAAAAACGTAACTTTTAGAGATATCAAGCATAACTGTGACGCAAAATAAAGATTTTTTTTCGAGACTTCGAAATTAACGTGTTAGTTTGTGGAGAAAGTAATGAGGCGAATATAGAATCGCCAAGGGAAGTGTTCGAAATGCGATGCTCGTATTTTCTTGAAACTTTGCACACACGTTGGTCATAGGTCGCATATCAAGTGGGGAGAGTTTCAGCTCGTGCTTTGCAGAGACAGCCGAGGTATTCGTCAATATTTGTGGCCAAGTGGTAAGCAAAATACAGGGAACGTTCATAGAGAAAAAGCATTTTTTGCCAGATCTTTGCCAGTTTCTTGAAGAAAAAATTGATTTTTTTTTGTGCAAACATCACTCTCTATGGTAAAAATCGGCATAAAACCTTTCATATTTGAAATTTGCCAAAAATTGCTTACCAACTTTTGGCCTTAAAATCTCGATCGTGGCGTGGAGAAAAGTAACTTTTGTAAGCACTACTCTTTAGAGTGGGAAAGAGCTTAAACTTTTCATGCCAAGATATACAAAAATTATCACATTTTTACCGATTTTCAATGTAAAAATCTCGGTCGTTTCTGCAAAGCGCGACCTAGAATTCTCGCATATATCTTTTTTCAAATTATTCTATGTTTGCGCCAAGTTTCATCAAAATTTGAGCGTCGCAATTGGAATATTTCTTTTTTTTTTGTTTTCCCCTGTAAACCTTGTCAAGTTGAGCTGTTCCTCCGAAAACAAAAAAAACCCAAACCTACATGAAAAAATTAGAAGCATATGCGTCGTAATCATCAGCATCCGATGCGCCGCATACTGCGCTTTGAAGTGGACAACCGGAAGCATCGTTGTGCCCGATAATAAGTCGTCTAATTGGTAGCAACGACTATTTGAATAAGCGGCCGCTTCGGCGCGCACAACCACGTAGGTGTATGGAGCCTCAAAATTTTAATTTGATTGCGATGAGCGGCTGGGCAAACACGCGAAGAACATGAATTGAGAAGACCCGTGTTTGGCGACTGTGCCTTCCGCTGATTGCGTTCGTGCAGTGCTATGGCTTGTGACAAGAGACAGAAAAACACACGGTTTATCAAGGCCCGCGATAAGGATGACAAAAACATATGCAGTGATGTGACCGGAAGCGAACGTTGAGTTCGAAAATTGGGCGTTGGCCTTGAATTTTTGGTCTTGTGCAAAACTTGGCACAATGTTAAGGCCAAATTCCAATTGTTACACACCGATTTGAAAAAAATCAACGTTATCAGATTGCGAAGTTGCAAACGACTATTTTAAAAAAAATGAATAAAGGGTCGACCAGAAAGTTCGTTCGTTTTTTGGATTACTGTAACATGGTCATTTTGTGATGAAAAAGAATGCAAAAATTTGGCATTTCATATTTTTACTCAAAAAACTAGCAAAATTGTAGCGCCACCGCCCAATACATATTTCTGATGGACCGTCTTTTATTTAGTATTTACAGGAGAGGTATCCCAAGTGCGACGCTCAGATTTTGATGAAACTTGGCACAAATTTATAATAATTTTTTCTAACATATATGCAAGAATCCAAGCCCGCGTTGTGCAGAAACAACCGAGATTTTTAGATCGAAAGTCGGCAAAAAATTAGGACTTTTTGCCGAATTTCGGCACGAAAAGTTTCGTGCCTATTTCAACTGTAAAGGATAACGTTTCTACAAAAAAAATAATTTTTTCCGCACAAAACTAGCAAAATTATGGCAAAAAAACGTTTTTCTCTCTGCCCACTCTCCGCGTTTAGCGTACTCTCTCGGCGGCAAAGACCGGTGAATATCTCGGCTGCGCCTTGAATGCGCGAGCTAAAATTTTGAGAGATTGATATTTAGTCTTTGCCCGAAGTGTGTGAAAAATTTAAGGAAAGCCCCAACGTCGCACATGGTACTTTCTTTGTTAGTGAAATGCACGTGGATCCAGCGCATATCCTGAACCATTTCGACGTTTGATCCACACACAATCGAATGACCAAAAAATTTTAGATGCCCAAATTCTTTTTGAGGAATTTTTAATGAAGCAAATTGATCATTTAAAATAAAGAAAATTTTAGAACGTTATTTTTTCACCGCAAGTCAAGGTTTTGTCCCCGTTAGCCAAGATAAAAACAACAGTTTTTTCTTCAAAATTCTATTTGTGACGACACTGTTACTACTCTGGATTGACGTAGAATGCAATTAGTGCAGAAAGGACAACGAAGAAAATCCTCTCTTGTTCAACGTAGGTATTGGTCTCATGATCTGGGTCTGAAGCGAAAAGAGTCAGTTGAGGATAAATCATAAATTGATGAAAATTTCCCGCTTTTTAAGTATTATTTCACCGAATTTGTTTTTTTTCCAGCTTTTCAAACTTACCAACGAGACCTGCTTGAATTAGAAATTGCCGGGCTACTGTAATTTTTTAAATACAGTAGCATAAACACAGCTCCAATCTTTTTGTTATCAGGTCTGAAGCGCAGGACTGATATTTGTTCCAAATCAAATTTATCAGAGAAATCAGAGACCCCAGTATCTCCATGACGTATGGAGATACTGGGGTATATCATACGTATAATACCGGAAAAGATGTATATTTCGCATTTTTTGTAACATTATAAAAATTAGATTTTTTACGGTTTATCCTATAAATTGACATGTCAGATAAGACTTGTACATATAAATAATATAGAACGCTTATATTTATATGCAACCATACTAGAGAGTTATGCGTTTTATTTCACTCAGCAACTAATCCGCTTTTGATTTTAAACCCATTCTGAATGCTCGTACGACAAGTCCGATAACAAAAATTACACTCAACAACACTACTAAAACCACCGTGAAAGCAAATGCAAATACGTCAATGTTATAAAACTGCACAGCGCTGAGATGCCTGCCACTGATGTCCAAGTGTTTTTGCACGTCGAAGCGAGCTGCAAACTCGGCGGACTCGACGATTCGTCTCTCCGGACTGCCCGGCTTATTCTTGATGATCTCGCTCAACTCCACAGCGCGTCTTTTGAACTCTTGGTTGTCGATGAGCTCTTTGAGTGTGTCGACGATCGCCTGCTTGTCCAGCAATTGCTCCTTCTTCAACACCTTCGACGTGCCCTTCGCTTCGACCATGGCCGCATTTCGCATTTGGTCCCCGAACAGGGGAATGCTGATGGTCGGGATGCCGGCATATGTTGTCTCAGTAATTGAGTTCATACCGCCATGCGTGATGAAGGCCAGACACCTGGGATGCGCCAGGATCTCTCTTTGCGGCAACCATTTTTCGGTGTGCACGTTGGAATAGCCTTTCGCAACGTTGTCCTCATCCTTCTCGTATTTCCAGATGAATTGCACATCCGGGAATTGCGCGAACGCCTCCAGGATAGCTTGCTTCATCTTCGGCGGCATCAGTTTGCTCTCCGCCACCGAGCCGAATGACATGTAGACCACGCCCTTCTCGGCTTTATCGAAGATCTTTTGGTATTTCTGGTCCAACTTGTTGGTCTTCGCCATCGCCTTCTTCATCCCGTAGCCCGCAATGTTGATGTATTTGTGGGAAATGGGGCGCGGAAAGTCGACAAATTCGTCAACGTTTACCCAAATAAATGAGCTTTGAGCAATAAGTTCCTGAAAGTGGAAATATTTTGAGCGATGATTACATAATTTTGAGCTGTAATTACATAATTTTGAGCGGTGAAAACACGGCATTCTTAAGTCTAAACTTACCTCAAAAGTCACGTCTTTGTCGAACTTTTTGAAGGCTTCGGCGGTAGTTCCTTGGAAAGTGGGGAAGATTTTGTATTTCCCAAAGAAATACCCGAACTGATCCTTCAGCCTGATCATGAAAGTTCGCTCCGTTGTGGCGTCGAAGAGCCCAGGAACAATACTAACACTGGGTGGAACGCCCAACACCCCCATGAAGAAAGGATCCGCTGCCCCGCCGAACACAGTGATCCAGCGTTTCACTCCAATAAACTTGAAGAGCCCCAAGCCGCAAACATCGAACCATTCGCCCACTCCGAGGTCGAATTTTTCGTCCCGGAGTTGAGTCAGTATGTCGTCTTTGTCGTAGAGGTTTATGCAGGCGTCTCGAAAAAACTCCCCTAGTGCTCCAAGCATCTGAAATCGTAAGAGAGTTGTGTTGGGAGCAACCAAACCATTGCAGGGGGACGTAAATTCATCCTGCATGAAATAAAGCGCAGTTTTTCGTGTATTGGTTTTTCGGGCCGACAAATGTTCGGGTAAACAAAAAATAGATCTAGACGAGGGGTAGGGCAAAAAAAAAATGTAAAGGGTGCCTACGATGCCTGACATAGCTATTGTATGCTAGGCGAAGGCTCGGCAGAGACTTGGCGAAGGCTTGACCACTTTTCCAATCTTATTGTTAGCTTTTGATAACCTTAACTTTCTTGACCCTGAGCAATTGCAGCATAGAAATGACCAAAACTTCCATCAAGAAAACGAAGACAATTAACTTTTATATAGATATTATTAATGTGGGTACATTTAAGATACATCCAATTAATTGATAAAACTATCCTAGGACTTTTAAAAGCGACCTTAATATTTCTATTAACTAAGCCCTCTCCTAGACTCCATGCATGCAGCGATCAATCGAGTCAAGCCAAAAGACGTAGCGCCGAAAAAATCTCAAATTCAAAGCACTTACACCTGGGTCCATATCATCTTTCCAGATGTTATGCATAGCCCCCAAATTGTCCATCTTCTGCGGGACCTCCACTTCAATTACTCGAACCTTTTTGTTGCTGGATCCGGTGAAATTGAACTCAGAATTCATTTGTGTTTGCAACACCACCTGAATGTCCAATAAATCATTTCCGAATCAGCTTACGACTTCATGGCCAGCGTTGGCCAGCTCGTCCGCCAATTTCCCCATCAACAACACATGACTGCGGCCGAATTTCGGGTTATAGACCAAATATTTTAGCCCATCACATGCTTGAAGCGCTAGTAAAAAAAGGATCAACAGGTTGGTCAGCATTTTGTCGTCGACTCGGCGAACTTATTTGCTCCATTCGCTGAAAGACCCCCACTTTTATATACGGGAATTTCTGTTTTGTGCGCAATTTCCGTCCGAACTTTCTCACATATTCCCATTCTTCAAGGCATTACAACGCAATGCAAAAAGACCGATTTTCTTTTTCAGCAATTTTCTGTCTTAGTGAATTGAAGAGTCTCTATTTTTTGTTGATTTTGAGCAACAAGCAGTTGAATTCTAGAACACAGAGAATTCTAGAAATAGCTGTAGAGTAGGCCAGGCATTTTTATCCTAGATGCTTCAAAGATCCAAAGTTTAAATTTTGAAAGCTTTAAAATGCTGACAAGACAAAAAAATAAGACTTGATTTGAGCTGATTTTGCTTTGTTTATACATCGACAAGTTAAGAAGATGCCCATTAAAACACGATTTTTGAGCTAGGTCATCAGCGGCGGTAAAAAATATTTTATACGAGATTTTTTATCTTAAAATATCGGTAGTAGTTGTGTAATAATTTCAGCGGTTGTTGATAAAGGAATCAGAAAACCGTAGATTTTTATTGTCAGATTACTGCTACATGGTCGTACTGTAATTCGGTCGGTAAAAATCGACAATAACTTCTTTAGATCAAAAATGCCACAGGACTCGAAATGTCAAAAATGTCATTCAGATCTCGACAAAAGTTCAAACTTATTTTCAAGTTCGCGAACTCATCAACTTTCCTGGCAGTAGGCGGAAGATATGCATATATACATATGGTTCTTGATGAAGTAAGCGACAGATCGCAAAAATAATCCGTGCCGTTTCTTTCAGCCTTGATTGAAAAAAAACAGTGCATAAACAAACCACTCGTCATTAGATTAGTTATAATCTAGATCATCAAAATTCCCAGCCTGTGCAAATTAACTCACCTTACATGCAATTCATGCTTTATACCTTGAAAACGTAGTCTAACCTCCCGTATCTTCGAAATCTCTGGGCTTCTAGTCTCACGTCTATTTCAGAACATCATATTTATTCAGTCGCCGTTTCAAACCTGACATTCCATATATAAACTTTTTTTTGATGAACTGGCTTATACATTTCACATGAGCAATGTCTCAAGCTTTTCCATGCTTCATTGTTCTTGTAGCATGCATTTCTATGGTGCAAGCAGCTCCAGAGCAAGTTCACTTGGCGTTATGTAAAGAGCCGGACTGCATGTCCGTGAGTTGGGTCACCATGCACGACGAAGGCGGTCAGAAGATTGTCTATGGTCGGGACGTCAACGCGTCCAATCATGAGTCGCCCGCAAAGACTGTAAAGTGGACGTTCAAAGGGATTACACGGTATATGCACAACGTAAAGATTAGCAATTTACGCTATGACTCAAAATATCGTAAGTTATGGGCCATTCAAAAAACATGTTTGTCGGGAAAATAATTAACACAATGTCGCTGCGCCAATCGCGTTGCTAAAGTGAAAAGAAATTTGATTTTGCCGCGACACAATTCATTTTTTCGATGCGATTTTTGATGCGACTGAGTCCTCATTATTTTCCCGACAGACTGATATATTAGCTCTTAGATTATTACGTTGGCAATGGGAAGTCGAACAGCAAGAAGTTCTTCTTCACGACCTTCCCCAAAGGTGACAACTTCCTATTCAAGGTGGGGCTCGTGGGCGACCTCGGAATTGCCGGAAAATCTATTCCATACATGATTGAGGCCACACAAAAACGTTGGATTCATATGGTTGTCCATGTTGGTAAAGACTGATCAATTTTCGTTTGATTGCTGAGAAGGGGCCAAGTCAACGCTCAAATTTTGATGGAATTTAGACCCAGGAATTTTTTTAAAGCGTAAATGCAAGACTTCTACCACGCGCTTTGCTGAAACGACCGGGATTTTTAGGCTTAAAGTTGGCAGAAAATATGAAACTTTTTGTCAAATTTTGGCATGAAAAATTTCGCACCGGTTTCTACCACAACTTTGGCAATGTTTTCGCAAAAAAATCGACTTTTTTCCGGACGAAACTGGTATGCCAAAAAGTGTATTCTCCCAGGATAGTCCAAAAAAGTGTATTCTTCCTGGCTCACGTGCTTTCGCGGCCGTTAAAAACCGTTTTTTAATTTTAAAAAATCTCGGCGGCCACTGCAAAGCGCAACTTAAAATTTTTTGGAATTGATGTTCCGCCCATGCCTAAAAAGTATGCAAAATTTGAAGAAAATCTGAGCGTCGCACTTGGCTTACTTCTCATCGGAGCCTAGATAATAAATAATCGCCGAATATTTAGGCGACATTGCCTACAATCTGCAGAATAGGCAGGGAAAGTTGGGAGACGCATATATGAGAAAGATTGAGCCAATCGCCGCGTACATTCCTTACATGGTAATAGCCGGAAATCATGAGGAAGACGGAGAGGACTTTGCCAATCTGCGATATCGATTTAGTATGCCAGATAGTGTCAGTGGGGACAATCAGTACTATAGGTAACCGCTAAATTGTTGAGAAATAAGAAAATATTACTTCTCAATAATATGCTGTTGTTTCATATCAATGAATGGCAAAAAATTTCAGCTTCAACGTCGGGCAAGTCCACTGGGTCGGTCTGAGTTCCGAACTGTATGCGTATGCCCACAAATACGGCAAGGGGAGAGTCCAAAATCAGTATTAATGGTTGGTCAGAGACATGGAGGTACGTTTTTGTCATGAATTATTGATAAGAAATGGCTCAAAATTATGATTTTGTCGGTAAAATAATGTGGATTTGTTGCGCTTTGAAAACACCCGCCATCGGTTTGCAATAGCTGCACTAGGGGACCTGATACAGTGGCAAAAAACGCACCATTTTGGATCCAGGAAGCATAAAAAATGAAGTAAAATACCTCCTTTGGAAAGTGAAAAATCCGATTTCAAAAGCGCGCCCGCTCTTTTTGTGAGATGGCCTTCTAATCGAAGGTTTTTTCACTTTGAGAGGGAGTCATTTTGCTGCATTTCTGATACCTCCCTGATACAAATGGTACGTTTTTGCCACTGGATCAGGTCCGTCACTGTAGTGCGGCTGGAGATTTAGTGAGCGGCAGCGACAAGACGAGACATTTCGCTGCGACAAATCCACATTATTTTCCCGACATACTGATATAATAATATACATACTGATAAAAAATGTATTGTAGGAAGCCAAGAAGAAACGCTCATCGCAGCCGTGGATCATCGCCTACCAGCATCGTCCAATTTTCTGCTCTGATAAGTACAACCAATGTAATGGCTCGGACAACAACCAACTCCGCTACGACAGCCCCGGGAATCCCGCGCTAGAGCCGGTCTACGCCGAATACGGCGTGGACATGGTGTTCGCCGGTCATCATCACTTCTACGAACGTCAATTCCCTCGCAGCCACCGACATACGACAATTCAAACGAACCCACATGTCAATGCGAAGGCCCCAGTGTATGTTGTAAGCGGATCGGCGGGCGGTGCGCCCGGGCATCACTCGAGCTTTCATGCCAGACCAAGTCCACTCAGTGCGGTGAGAAAGACGGAGAATAGTTATACCGTCTTGCACTTGCACAACAAGACCCATTTGTTCATGAAGCAGATCTCCGTGGAAGGAAGGCCGAAGGAGATCGATCGATTGTGGCTGATCAAAAGCCCTGGCTATAGCTCTGGCTATGGCTAAGGGCGCGAAACATTGAATTGTCTATGCTGCGGCTAGAAGCGGTTTTATGCCTATGATTGCGATAAATTTCTCGTAGTTGGAGCGATTGTTATTCCTAAATATTCGCAGAAAAGCTAACAGGGGAAGTACCCACGTGCGACGCTCAGATTTTGATGAAACTTGACACAAATTTAGAATAATTTTTTCTGGCTATATACGAGAATCCCAGCTTGCGCTTTGCAGAAACAGCCGAGATTTTTAGATCGAAAGTCGGCGAAAATTTGACACTTTTTGCCGAATTTTGACACGACAAGATTCATGCCTATTTCTACCGTAAACGGTATTAGTTCCACAAGAAATCAATTTTTGCCGCACGAAACTGGCAAAGTTATAGCCAAAAAGTATTTTTCTCCTTGACCGCTCTCCGCGGTTAGCATGCTATCTCGGCGGCAAGGTTCGTTTAATATCTCGGCGGCACCGCGAGCTAAAACTTTCAGGAATTGATATTTAGTTCAGAGCGCCGCATTTGGGGTACTTCCCTTGTCAGTACACATCGTTAAAACCAACTCCAGCGACATTGCAAACGAGCTAGTATTATAAGTACGTGACTTATGTATGATCGGTCCTTTTTTCGGGGTTTCCTTTTTCGTCCATTGTAAGAGGTAATGGACCATTTCCTATCTGTCCAATTCCTCGAATTCACGTCGAGGAATTGCGTACTCTCTCAGCCGCACAGATCGTTAAACGGCTGCGCCTGCAAAGCCCGAGCTAAAGCTTTCCGGAATCAATATCTAGTCTATGCCCGACGTGTGTGCAAGATTAAAAGAAAATCTGAGCGTCGCACTTGGTGTACTTCCCTTGTAAGTTGAAAATTCTTTTTTTTTTCTTTTTTAAATCAAAGATCACAAAAATTTACATACTCCGTGTCGATTGATTTTTTCCACACTTCAAGCCACGGAAAAGTGAAAATCATTCTCCATTTCTCTATTTCTCACCGACCTCCGTCATTTCTGTTCATTCCGTGACGGCAACGCGACGAAGTGCGGCCGAGCTTCGTACTCGCAAAGAGCAATGGATTTTGAAGCCGGCTTCAAGGGCACGGTGCTGTTATGGTGCCTGCAATCGCTGGTCGCCGCGTTCAGCATGTTCATTGTGACACTGCAATGCGGAGGCAAGAAAAAGTGAGTTTCGAAGGAGTTTCGACCAATTTTTTGTTGCTTTTCTTCAAAATATGTGGTAATTGAGAGTGTTTTGGTGATCCTGGCCTATTTTGCTTTGGTAATCTTGGCCTGTTTTTCAAATTGGTTGCAATTTTTTTTAGGCCGAAGGGAAGGCCGGCGCCTAAATCAGCCATAAATTCAGTCCCACCCGCTCCAGCTCCAGCACCCGGTGCCAATCTGCCGCCACCCCCACCGGATGCAGCACCAAAGCCCGCTCCGAATGTGAGTTACAGATATTTTTTGGACAGTGTGGCACACAAAATTACTGATCGCTCTTTGTATTTAGGCCGAGAACGCAGCAGAGAAGAAGGAAGAGGGCGAGAAGAAGGAGGTAAGTTCCGGCGGAATTTTGAGTGATTCCCGGGAAAGTTTCGGAATTTGAAAGCGATTTTTATGGTGGACCTGAACCATTGTCAAAAAACGTATTATTTTGGATCCGGGAAGTATCAAAAATGCCGCAAAATACCTCCCTCTCAAAGCGAAAAATTCCGATTTCAAAAGCGCGCCCACTCTTTTTGTGAGGGGAAAGGGCGCGCATTTCAAAACGGAGTTCCTTTTTTATTGTAGTGGGAGGTATTTTGCCACATTTTTGATGCTTCCCGGATGCCAAATTATACATTTTTTTGCCAGTGGATCAGGTCCCACTGCAGTAATCCGTTTATAAAATTGCTTGAGTGATTATCACGGTGAGTGCGACAGCCCAGATAAGCGTAATGAATAAATACACAGCATTTTTGTGCCAAGTGAAACATCGTTTTCGCTCAGTGAATGTCGCGAAAATCACTCCAACAACTTTGCAAACGGGCTGTTAGGACCGTAGTGAGACTCGCTTAGAGCGCTGATCTGAAAATTTTTTCTTCTGTACAGTGGGGTCTGATCCAGTGGCAAAAAACATGCCATTTTGCATCCGGGAAGTATCAAAAATGTGGCAAAATGCTTCCCTCTCCAAGAGAAAAAAACTTTGTTTTGAAGGGCGCGCCATTTTTCCTGTCAAAAAGAGTGGGCACTCTTTTGAAATCTTACAAGGGAATGGTTTGAACTGTCCGTGAGCTTTCAACATGAGACCCCCAAATTCTGAAAGAGCGTACAAAGTTTAGTAGGAATCCGTTTTCTATTTTTGCCGAATGGTCTTGAGAGACGAGAAATATCGACAGAAAGATCCGACTAAAAGAAATCAAAGAGAGAAAAGACGAACCGAAAGACCTAGGAAAGCGTTACCAAATAGTCTCGTGGAAAAAGTTCCACGCACAAATCTTTTGGCAGAAGGAGGTCTTGGAGGTTCGAGTCCAACCGAAACGGATATCCTTGGCTTGAACGTACATATCAGTTACTGTATTCTATAGCCATGTAAAAAAATTTTTTTTTTATTTATTCAGGTGTTTTACAGATTTCTTTGCAAAATTTCGAGAAAACTTGACAATTTGGCAACATTTTTGAGTTTTCGATGATGCCATTTGTCAATCTTATGGTATGTTAAAGATGTTTTTGGACCATTCCAGGAGGTGTTCCATGATCTTGCAAATTTTTTCGGGCTTCCAGAAAAGAATGTCGCCAAATTTTCACCTTTTCTCAAAATTTTGCAACAACAGTTGAAAAGATTATTTTTGGATCCCTGCGTCAGCGTATAATGGACCGCGTGAATATTTACGAAAAAGTCGATTTTGAATCTTTTGGTTTAGAATGACTGTAAACATGTATTTAACAAAAGCCCAAAATATTTTCCCCGAATTCTGCCATGAAGGTATAAACCAGAAATTAGGGGGTCCCTTCGGGCCCCCCTATTTCTGGTACTTGTACTTATTCTTTTATACTCTTGCTTTTTGAATTTTCTCAAAAGCTTTTGATTTTTTTTTGTAATTTTTTTGAAAGGCTCGGGGCCGGCGGCCCTTCGCACGCGGTGCCATGCTTAACTCCAGTACTCAAGCTCTAAATTTATACCTGAAAGGTATAAATTTGCGTAAATTTATCCTTTTTTGAATTTTATGTCTCACGGCATCATAGAGAGAGGTAATGACCCGAAATTCTGGATATATACGTTTTTGCTGATTGAGCATTCAATTTTTTGAAAACCAAGTTTCTAAGATTACTGTAACATAAGTACATTAAAACCGGTCGATAAAAATCGACCGTCCCAAGGCCATTCGGCAAAAACAGAAAACGGATTCTTACTAAATTTTGTACGCTCTTTCAGAATTTGTGGGTCTCATGTTGAAAGCTCACGGACAGTTCAAACCATTTCCTTGTTAGTTTTTTTCACTTACAAGGGCTCGGCAAAACCTCGTCCCCTGGTTTTTTCTTGAAACATACACCATTTGAAAGAGCGTAAAAAACTGGTCTAGAAGCAACTTTTATTAGCTGCTATTATCCACTTACGCGCTGGCTAGCGAGAATTTTTTAGTTCTAGGCTAGTCTCACCCTGCTTTTGAGAAAACAAACGCGATCGGTTTCAAAAGCAAACCGAAGCAGTGCTTCGGTGGCCTAATGGGGAAAGGCGCTGCTCAAGGACCTGCGAAGCGGGTTCGAATGCTCTTTTGAATTTTTTTATTTTTCTGGCTAGTATGGAACAAATAGAGTCAGAAAGTTGTGTTTAATTTTTGACTAGACTTTTGTGTATACTCAGGTCCATTTAAAAAAAACTACAACTATTTTGTTTTTTTTTATTTTGGCCTCTTTGACCTACCTTGTAGTGGGGCATCCTGGGTGGTTGAAACTTTCAAAGGCTTTCATATTTTTTATAGGAATGCCCGCTAACGAAAAGTACGCAAAAATTGAGTTTGAAAACATCTTACATGTTTGGAACATCTTCGTTTGTCTTGAGTTACAGGACCTAAAACATCGCGCAATCACTGATTGAGTATGTCAACTTGAATGTCTCAAACTCAGAAAACCTTTTGTATTTTTTGACATAGGTTGAAGCGTTCAACCTCATAAATGACTACTATTTATATGAAAAGTGATTATTCGATCTCGTTCATGTCTCAGAAGCAAAGAGTTCCAAAATCCAATTTGAAAATTTTAAAAAATGCCCGCTAGCCAGCCCGTAAGTGGATAATAGCAGCTAATTCAAGGTGATCCTAGACCAGTTTTTTACGCTCTTTCGAATGGTATATGTTTCAAGATAAAACCAGGGGACGAGGTTTTGCCGAGCCCTTGTTAGAGTTGGAGGTATTTTGCCACATTTTTTGATACTTGCTCGATGCAAAATGGTTTGTTTTCTGCCACTGGATCAGGTCCCCCACTGTAGCTTCTTTTTTCAGGGTGATGAAAAGAAGGAAGAGAAGAAAGAGGAGGAGGTGAAAGAAGGCTCAAAGAAGGAGGAGAAGAAGGAGGGCTCTAAGAAGGAGGGCTCTAAGAAAGAGGGCTCTAAGAAGGAAGGATCTAAGAAGGAGGGCTCCAAGAAGGACGGGTCGAAGAAGGGCGGCTCTAAGAAGGAGGCCAAGGGTGGTTCAAAGAAGGAGGGCTCCAAAAAGGAGGAGAAGAAGGAGGCCTCGAAGAAAGAGGAAAAGAAGGAAGAGAAGAAAGAGGGCTCCAAGAAAGAAGAGAAGAAGGAGGAGAAGAAGGAAGGTTCCAAGAAGGAGGAGAAGAAGGAAGGCTCCAAGAAAGAGGAGAAAAAAGAAGGCTCCAAGAAGGAAGAGAAGAAGGACGGATCGAAAAAAGAAGGATCAAAGAAGGAAGAGTCCAAGATGGGTGACAAGAAGGATGATGACAAAAAGGAAGATGACAAGAAGGAGGATGATAAAAAAGAGGAAGAGAAAGAGGTAATAGAACCGTATCTTCTTTTTGTTAAATGAATTTCAAGAAGTTTTAAGTTCCAAAAGTTTGAAGATCGTTTGTGTTGAATTTGTTCTTTTTTTGATATTAGACTAGGCTAAATAATGGAAAATGCTCAAAAATTGAGATTTCTGCTTTCAGGAGGACAAGAAGGAGTAGATTGTTTAGCTGCATCTCCACTGGGACTAATCGCCTTTTCATATCTTGTAGAACTCGTTTCGAAATAAACGTTTATCTACTTGCATGTCTCGAATTTTGATCCTTTTATGTTATCGTAATTCTGGCTAAAAATGAGCATGAAGTTTACTTGTCATCAATAATTACCTCTTCAGAAATGGGAATGTCTTTGTATAATACTCGTGTCTTTTTTTGTATATGTCACCGTATGTTGTCATAGTCGTTGAACGCCGTTCACGCCTGGCTCTCCAGATTCAACCTTGGCATCGCGGTCCCGTTGTTGCGCGTCGTTGGCGGTCGGAGCCCTGCAAACAGCGGATTTCGATTGGGAGAACGTGCAGAGAAAAGGAGGAACGGCAAGCGAAAAGGAGAGAAATGCAAAGTGTACGGTGTTAGGAGAGTTACTGCAACCAGTGTTAGACAAGGGTTAGCTGAGGATCATCAAGAGAACGATTTTTTCGCTGATTTTTACAAGGGAAGTACCGCAAGTGCGACGCTCAGATTTTCTTCAAATTTTGCACACGCATCGGACATAGGCTAGATATCAGTTTCTGAAAGTGTTAGCTCGCGCTTTGCAAGCGCACCCGAGATATTGAACGATTTTTGTGGCTGAGAGAGTACACTAAACGTGGAGAGCGGTTAGAGAAAAAAAGGCTTTTTGGTCGTAATGTTGCCAATTTCGGATAAAAATTTTTTATTTTTTTGGAAACATTATTCTCATCGGTAAAATTAGGTATAAAACTTTTCATGCCAAAATTCGGCAAAAAATGTAAATTTTTTGCCGACTTTCGATCTAAAAATCTCGGATGTTTCTGCAGAGCGCGTGCTAGGATTCTCGCATATAACCTATAAAAAATTATTCTAAATTTGTGCCAAGTTTCATCAGAATCTGAGCGTCGCACTTGAGGTACTTCCCCTGTGAGATGAATCAACGCGAAAATTCGAAAGCTTTTTTTGCAAAAAAAATGTTTTGAGATAGAATCTGGTCATCATAGCCAAAGTGCTTTATGTTACTGCAATTGCAACCTTCTAGACTACGTTTTGAATCCATTCGGAAAATGTTTATCCCCACTCCTTCCTTTCTGTTATCACATGTTAGCATTCGTCATCATGGTCAACATCAACTGGTCCATTCCTCGACAAAACCACGTCACCTCGCGGCGAAACGCGAACAAAACTCAGAACACACGTGCAACTTACCGCCGGTGGACCAGGCACGCGACCTACCGTTGAGTTCGTTGGGAGCGGGCAGGCTGCGTGCGGTCACGGCAATGTCGAGGGTGTGCTGCTCGAAAATGTCCATCGCTCTGGAAATAAAACCAAGCGGAATACGACGACCAGCACAACGGATTTGTTAGTTATCAGACAGCGATTGCCTCATTTGCGTACGAAGCGATATGAGCCGGAGAATTCGCAAGCGCATATTGCACATGATAGAAAATGAGGCGGAATAGACATTTGAGGACAATACAGGGTGTTTCATGAAATTTCGGACAATTTTTTTGCTCATATCTTTGTGCTCTTTGCAGTTATCCAAGAGGTTTAAGTTGTATTTAAAATTTGAAGTCGTGCATTTTTAGAATAATCAAAAGAATTTTTTCTTGTCTCGGCGGAGAGACCATTTTTCGGCGAAGACAATTGCTATCTGTTTTGAAAATTCCACCTCGATACAAAGCCCAGACTTCCCTACTACGAATGAAATTAGGCTTGCCTCATCATCTGCATAGTCTCGGTAGCTTGGCGCACATTGGCGAAGGCTCGGCAAAGACTTTTTTGCCACTTCAAATTTTAAAGACAACTTAAACTTCTTGGACAGCTGCAATGATCACAAAGATATAAGCAAAAAATTTGTCTAAAATTTTTGAAACACCCTGTAGAAAAAGGGGCGGAGGATGCGTTAAACGCCAACCTGGATCGCCTCCTCATCTGTGCCAAAGCGTCGTCGGGATCGGTCACTTTTCTCATCTGTTCTCGTTGCTTGAATTGTTGGTTGTGCTCCTCAACGCTGACCACTTTTATATGTTTCTGCCTGGTATGCTCGTCCATTTGCCCGAGACGGCTCTTGTGAGGAATCATCGTGATATTCTGGACGTCTTTTACCAAACTGAAAGAAAATGGGTTTAATGTTTACAAGGGAAGTACCCCAAGTGCGACGCTCAGATTTTCTTTAAATTTTGCACACCCTGGAACTGATCTCTGGGGCATAGACCAGAGATCAGTTCCGGAAAGTTTTAGCTCGCGCTTTGGAGGCTCCGCCGAGATATTGAATGGCCTTCTACGCCGAGAGAGTAGGCTAAACGCGGAGAGCGGTCAGAGAGATAACAATTTTTGGCCATAGCGTTGCTAGTTTCGTAAGGAAAAATTCATTTTTGTGGAAACATTAGCCGTTACGGTAGAAAAAGGTGCGAAACTTTTCGTGCCGAAATTCCCCAAAGGGTGTCAAAATTTTGCCAACTTTCGATCTAAAAATCTCGGTTGTTTCTGCAAAGCATGATCTAAGAGTTTCGCAAATAGTTTAGAAAAAATTATGCTAAATTTGTGCCAAGTTTCATCAAAATCTAGATGTCGAACTTGGACTTCTTCCCCTGTAAACCTCAACTCTTCCAACTCACTTCACATTCGATGCCGATCCGGTCAAGGGATGGACACTTCTCTTTGCGGCTGACAGCGAATACAGAGGATCTATCCGATCATGAGACCAGTACTTGTCCTTGACCAACGGCGGAGGGAATCGCTGTCCCTTGTCGACCAACTGCATTCCACTAATGAGGTTCTTGTCCAGCATTGAGTTCACCTCGAGGTCATCGTCATCTTCTCCGAGGGGATTGAGCAACGCTTCGGCCACTTTCATCCAGCCCATGTAAATAAAGAACTCGATCATTGTTTTGAGCGGAATGTAAATGTCGATCTGAAATAGACATACAACGATCCTGCAAGGTTTTGGAAACAAATCAAAAAATGGTCAGTTCTGTTGGGAACTGGGACGATTGGGGGAAAAGACGATTGGGGAAACCGAAAAGTATTATTTTTATTATTTTTCTTTGATGCAAATATCGAAATTAGGATAGTCGAGGGTTCCGATTTCGAAAATGACATTCATTTTCTTGATTATTACTTTTTTCCTTAAGTAGTACTGTAAAGCACTAATTTTTTGAATTTTCTTCATAAATACTCGATTTAGGGGTGTTCGAGGGTGCTGATTTCAAAAATCATATTCGTTTTTTTCTGGTTGTTACTTTTTTCTTAAGCAGTACTGTTAAGTAGTAATTTTTTGAAAGTTTCCAAACATACCGGATTTAGCGGTTTTCGAGGGTGCTGATTTCGAAAATCATGTTAAATTTTCCTCTAGTATTAAATAGTACTATCTGATACTATGTAGTACGAGGTGTCAGCACCTTCGAAAACGCATAAATCCGATATTTTTCGAAAATTTTCAAAAAATTACTACTTAACAATACAACTTAAGAAAAAAGTAACAACCAGAAAAAATGAATACGATTTTCGAAATCAGCACCCTCGAAAACCCCTAAATCAAGTATTTATGAAAAAAATTCAAAAAATTACTACTTTACAGTACTACTTAAGGAAAAAAGAAATAATCAAGAAAATTAATGTCATTTTCGAAATCAGCACCCTCAACTATCCTAATTTCGACACTTGCATCGAAGAAAAATAATACTTTTCGGTTTCCCCAATCGTCCAACTCGGGTTCTATTGTGCAGGTCATAAAAACATGAGCAACATCGTTTCCCGACACCTACACTTTCTTTTCCCTTGATATTTTGTCGACTGAGCAAGCAGATGGCAAAGTAGATGCGGACCGCCAAGAACACGACTTGCGGATACACCAGTGGAATGGGGATCCAATCAAACTTGAGCAACTTGCTGAGACCCTCGCGGAAATGTTGAATATCCTACAAAATTTCGACTTTGCTCTGAGAAACGGAAAATTTGGCTCGGAGAAGCGGAAAAATTGAAGAAAAGCATCTCACCTCCACGATAAACACCAGGATGTGATCACTGACAATCTTGTTCTCACTCCTCGCCCTCTCCAAAACACAGTAACACCAATGCAGCGGCATCCAATATCTCGTGTAGATATCCTCTTCCCGCTCCAATTCGTCCTTTTCGGCCGATGTTAGAAGGCCAGCGGCTATCAGCGACTCCAACGTGGGGAATCGCTTCCGCACTTGCATGCTGATGTCGCGCAAAACCAGTGCTTGATTCAGAACCATGTATCGGACCAAGGACCTCCGTTGAAGCCGAGTGTCCTCGTCCTTTCCGTGAATAAAGTTGGCAAAGTTGATTGCAGAGCTGAAAGGAGATGGGTAAATAGTAAATAAGTGTTGTTTTCAGCTGCTGTAAATATGATAACGCCCAGAAATGTCTGTATCTTACTTGTCAATCCATCCTATCCCTTCTGTGATGTGATTCCATCGCCCAACCACCTGCGAGACGAAGAAACCGAGGAGAAAACTGAGAGGAACGTACTTACTGAGGTCATGATCAAAGTACTTCACTAACGCTTCAAACGTCCTGAAGAAAAATGCAAATATGTAAAGTATTAGGTCGTCCAGAAAGTTTGTTCGTTTTTCAATGCTTTGTTTTTCAAGGATTGTTTGTTGTTTGGCAAATGGTATATATTTGAGACGGTTTTTTCTCCTCTACAAAACTGACTGTATCAAGCAAATATATATCCTTTGCCAAACAACAAACAGTCCTCGTAAAACATAGCAATGAAAAAAACGAACACAGTTTCTGGACGACCTAATAGAAAGAGATAAAAAAACCAACTGTTCAAGCATGAAACTCACTCTTGTTGCTCCCGATTCAACGCGTATCGATAGACCATGCTAATTGACATGTACGCCGTGGTCCAGATGGCGAGCTGAGGTAGAACGGCCTTCCACACACTTCCCCGCCATCTCATCAGAACCCGAAAGAAGCTTTCAAAGTTCGCATGCGACACTTGTAATGTGTATGCCACAGTCATCTTCAGGAGGTCGTGTGGAGATTCAGTTAACCCTGAAAACAGTTTCGGGCTGAATTTTCGGCACTTCTTTGCAATTAGAAATAACAGGGGAAGTACTCCAAGTGTGACGCTCAGATTTTGATGAAACTTGGCACAAATTCAGAATAATTTTTTCTAAGATATATGCGAGAATCCTAGCTCGCGCTTTGCAGAAACCACCGAGATTTTTAGATCGAAAGTCGGCGAAAATTTCGGACTTTTTGCCGAATTTCCGCACGAAAAGTTTCATGCCTATTTCAACTGTAAAGGATAATGTTTCTACAAAAAATCAAATTTTTCCGCACGAAACTGCCAAAGTTATGGCCAAAAACGGTTTTCTCTCTGACCGCTCTCCACGTTTAGCGTGCTCTCTCGGCGGCAAAAATCGTTCGATATCTCGGCGACGCCCGCAAAGCGCGAGCTAAAACTTTCAGGAATTGATATTTAGTCCATACCCGACGTGTGTGCAAAATTTAAAGAAAATCTGAGCGTCACACTTGGAGTAGTTCCCCTGTAAGTAATAAATATATCAGTCCGTCAGGAAAATAATGAACAGTCTGTCGCATCGAAAGTCGCATTGTCGCGGAGAAAATGAATTGTGTCGCGGAAAACTCAAATTTATTTTCACTTTAGCGGCAGAGTTCTCACTACAGTAGGAGTCTGATCCAGTGGCAAAAAACGTACTTTTTTACATCCGGGAATTGTCAAAAATGTGGCAAAATGCTTCCCGCTCCAAGTGAAAAAACTTCTTCCGCCCTTTTTGTGAGGAAAGGGGTGCGCCCTTCAAAATGAAGTTTTTTACATGGAGAGGAAGGCATTTTGCCACATTTTTGATGCTTCAAATGGTACGTTTTTTGCCACTGGATCCGGTTCGTCACTGTATTTTCCCAACAGAATGCTAAATGATTACATATTCGCGATATTTGCAACAAAACTAAGACGAAAAGAAAACCCAACCATATTGCACCAATATGATATGGCGGGCGCGCACTTGCGGGCAACCACTTTGCGGGCAGCCGCCATTTGCGGCCAGCACCGCCATTTGCGGACAGCCGACATTTGCGGGCAACCGACACCTGATTGTGAGGGCAACAGGGTGGAGATGGAAAAATTACTATAATTTTTTGGAAATTTACCGACATTTGCGGGCAGCCGACATTTGCGGGCAACCGGCACTTGAGGATAACAAGGTGGAGGTGGAAAAATTACTGCGATTTTTTGGAAGTTTTCCGACATTTGCGGGCAGGCAATACTTGCGGGAAGCCGACATTTGCAGGCAACAGTTCCAAAAGTTCCAATACAATCTGTGTGATTGTTCTTTCCTGTTGCTCGCAAATGTCGGCAAATTTCCAAAATATCGCAGTAATATTTCCACCCCCACCCTGTTACCCTCAGGTGCCGGTTGCCCGCAAATGTCGGCTGCCCGCAAGTGTCGGTTGCCTGCAAATGTCCCAGGCTGCCCGCAAATGTCTCAGCTGCCCGCAAATGTGACCCCCCCCCCCAAATTTCGCCCGCAAAGTGGTTGCCCGCAAGTGTCGCGACGCCTATGATATATGCTAAAAACCGCCGAGCATATTCTGTCGGCCACAAGCCCAGCGCCCAATCAAGTTATCGCCAAATTTAGCGGCAAAAATTCAACATTCCTCGGGGGTATTCTATTTCCGAACGGAAAATTATGAAAATTCTGGGAACGTGTAACAGACACCGCAAGAATTTCCATACTCCGGTAGGAATACCGGAATATGGAAATTGCTGTATGCATATGATATAAAGGCATCTACGCGGGTTAGCAAATAAACATAGCAAAAAATGTGTCATTTTGTTGTGGAAACGTATATGAAAGAATATGGTAAATAATCAAAACCCGTCTCACTATCCCACTTTTTCGCTCTGTAAAACGCAAATTACGGACATTCAGGCACACGGACCAAAAAGTTCAACACTATAAACCCCCATTCGAAGGCCGGCTCACCTTTTCGAGTCAAGTGTAAGACGCAAAAAATGTCAAAAGCCCCTTCTTTGTCACGTGCCCCGTTCCAAACCGGCGTAAATTTCGAAGGCACAAAGAAAGTTTATGCCCTCCTTTTCGTGCCGTGCCTCGGTTTTATCGCATACAATAACGCTTGACAAATGATTGGGCGCATTTTATGGCACATGTGGAGAAAAAAATTTGGGATTATTTCCCTGTTGGTGAGATCTTTGTAAAGGTTATTTTGCGGTGTAAAATTTGGACACTGTTGTGAAAACCGATGCGGTCTGTCTGTCGGGAAAAATGAGGGAAAGTCGCTTCGAAAATAGCATGGCCACCGAAGAAATGAATTGTGTTGCGGCAAAAACAATTTTTTTTGTCACTCAACACGCGATTGGGGCGGCAAATCAGCAAAATTGTGCTCATTATTTTCCCGACAGACTGATAAACCGCTGAGACAAAATGCTAGTCTGTCGGGAAAATATTGTGGATCTGTCGGAAGAATGGTTCGCCTCGCCGCAATCGCGCTCTAAATCTTCAACCGTTCCTAGCAGTAGCAAAGTGATGATGGGCGAGTCCAAGCGCGACGAATCCACATTATTTTCCCGACAGACTAACACTATGCGGGCCAAAAAAGCATACTTGATTTCCCGTCGTATGCCTTGGATACAAACATACCAAGGCATTTTGACCCCCTAATGTCTTATAAATAGTAAATTTGGCCGAATAGCCCGCACGCAAAGTTCTAACAAATAAAAAATTGAAATTAGCAAATTAACCGCTCTTTATCGCCCCAATAAAACCCGCACGCTTTCTCATCAACCAGCATACATACAAAATGGACTACAAGGTTGTGCTTAGGACCACGTTACAAGCATCTCTTATATAGTAATCACAGAGAACATTTGGGCACTACCAAATTTTAATATATAGTTCTAAAATTTAAGATTTTTAAATTTTAAAGGAACCCAAAAGTACTCTAAAACATCACGGATGCCATATGTGCCAACACCATTTTTTCTAAAGCATCAAAGATTAAGATGTAACTCGATTTTAGATGTGGGTTGGTCACAATTATTTTGCAAATGTCGAGGTAACACAAATCTATTTCAAACAAAAATGCTTTCAAATAGATTGGCGGGCAAAAATGTAGGATATTGTGTGGCAATATCCTACAGTGTTAAGGCAAAGCGGCCAACATATTTTCGATCAAAATTCATGTAATTTTTTACCGATTATTATAGAAAGTCAATGCAGCTTTACAGCGCGATTCAAAAATTGCTGTACAGCCCCCCCCCCCCTCTTTTTAACCCTTTTTTTAATCAAGGAGCCTTCTTTCTAACCTCGCAAATATACTAACAATAGTACCGAATATACATGCATCACCAAATACGGCCAAAAATTCTTTAGATGTTTTCGTACTGCAAATGCATCGTAAATTTTTGCCGCGCGACAAATCTTATTCAAGACGGCGCACTGTGCAAAAACATGTCAAGACTTTTTTCCCCGCCTAGTATTGTCGTAAGAGCTTTTTTAACTGCAATAGAATTCGTCTGGATAAGAAAAGCACCTACAAGATGCGATGCATTGAATTCAATTGAACCGTCGCAAAACCCTGTCCTTTACGGCAGATATCAGTCTGAAAATTCAGGGCTTTCTTGTGTATTTTAAAGACCCAACAATAATTTTTAACACAAACTTACTACAACGATTTTTTCAACCTATAAAATGACCAGAAATCGGCGATATTAATCTAGAAAGTTATGACAAAAACAATGAAAGATTACTTCCAAAAACCTCTCGTAAAAAAGTTTTATCCAAACGCGAACTTTAGCGGCCCATGGCCATTAATCTCCATTAGAAGGAGCGTTTATTTGCAACGCTGGCGACAGACATGGCTATAAATTTACGCGTCAAAAGTTCAACAGTGCAGTTACTAGCAAAATGAAAGTGAATCAGTACGGGGGGATGGTCTCTAAAAGTGCATTTAAAGTACTATACTTTACATCATTGCAAGTGTTGAGGAAACCTCTTGAAAACTTCAAAATGACAGCTAATTGACTTGTCTATAAGGACAGATATACATGATGAAAACGCATTGTACAAAAAAATCCAGCGGCTATCGGACTGTTCAGCCAAAACTTTTTCCCTTTTCAAACCCTCCCAAGTCTGAACGCCCTCAATAGCCTTTCCGCTAATCCCACGGAACATCGTATTTTGCCGGCAAAATGTTGAAATCGGCTCAACGAATTCGTCTTGCCTAGAGACTGGGGCCGTGGACCCGGAATGATAAGGACAGCTGAGCCCGGAAAGAGGGGTAAAGAGTCCCCGACGACCGCAGCGAATAATGAGTGACAACGAGCTTTTTTTCGAAAAATAACTGTTATTAAACCGACGGGCCATTGGGGTAATTTGAGGAGGTTACGAGTTTTTGCGTTTGAACTTGTGCCGTTTATGACTCTGAACGAGAACGGAGCCAAGATGATAACACAGGTCTGTCTGTCAATTCGCTGGAGTGACTTGTGTTGCTTGTACTGTAGTAATCCGCTGGGGTGACTTTTTAGCGTTGGCGCTGTGCAAAGAAAGTCAGAGCGACAGCCCAAAAAAAGCCTACTCCATAGTGCAAAGTGGACTTTTATTTTCTCACAGTGCACGTCGCGGAATGGCTAGAGCGACTTTGCGAACGGTCTAATGAATTGCCCGATTCAAGTAATATATATATATATATATATATATATATATATATATATATATATATCAATATATAGTATATATATATATAGTATCAGTATATATATAGATCGCTGAACTGAAAAGCAATTTAATTTCGTTGCGACAAAATTCATTTTCTCGGCGTTTATGCGATTTTTGATGCGACAGAGTGCTCATTATTTTCTCGTCTTCTGATAACAGGTAACGCTTTCGGAACAATATGCGAATAAGGCTTCAAAAAACCAGTCGTAAAAACACCATGTCCGGGATGCTATTATATTTATCTCCCTGCCTCCGTGAC